CTTCTTTTTTACTAAGAGACCTAAGAGTCGAGTGCGGGCGAGTTCTGAAGTTCAAACCCAAACAAACTGTTCCACGTACGCCATTTTGCTGCCAGTAATCAGTGCAACAGACCTGACCTCTTAGAAAACACGACGGTCAAACTGAGGTCACTGTATGAGCGGTGATTGGTGGATTTCGATCCTCGGCCTTTGTCAGTTTCTTTGCGTTTGCGGTCTGTCTATTCTAGCTGTTATTTTGATTAAAGGCAATGAAAAACGCAACCGTTAACCGCAGGAAAAGGGAAGCTAAATACGATTGAACACAACAGACGAGAATAAACAACAGGTAGATTTTGTTCATAAACCAAATCAATATTTCATTATTGAATCGAGGTCCAATTTGACTGTTGGATTATTCATTTTATGAATGGATTATTGAATCAACAAACGAAATCATTTTTGCATTAATGAATTCATTAGTTTGTTAGCGACGGGAACACTTGACCTGGTTTGACTGTAACGTCAATGAATGTATTAACAAAGCTACAAATAAGCCCAGGGATCAATTTAATAGAACTTTTATACGTGCAATTTACAAGTGTAGCGCTGCCATTGTTTTAGAGTCTGAGAACAATGGCTATAACTTACAGTCAAACCAGGTGAAGTGTTCCTATGAGGGTATATCTATGACAAAATTCAGTAACCTAAAACTGAAAAGGGTTAAGTCAAATCTGAAATATACCGAGTCAAAGTTGGCAAAAGAAAGACCACAGTAAGAGGAAGAAATACTAAAAAAGCCACTATCATATAGGTATCACGCAGAAAAAGGCATCGCGCTAAAAGGCAACACGCAAAGAGCCAACACGCAAACAGGCATCACGCAAACAGGCATCACGCAAAAAGGCATCACGCAAGCAGGTATCAGGCAAATAGGCATAACGCTAAGAGGCATAACGCAAAAAAGCATCACGCAAAGAGGCAACACGCAAAAAGGCATCACACAAAGAGGCATAACGCAAAAAGGCAACACGCAAAAGGGAGGAATGCAAAATGTCAAAAGGTAACACTGAAAAAGGCAAAACACAAAGCGACATCTCGCTAAAGTCAAGAAGACTTCCGTAGGGACTGAACTCGCGTTGTCTGCTGGGAACTCCATACCGTGAGTTCGCCATGGCCGCCAACAGGCAAGACACAGTTTCGTCTTTACTTAACGAGGCTATACGCCTCTTGAGTAATGATACAAACGATACCAACCAAGCACAATTAAACCGTGAATCGTCTTCTCACTCCCAGAGAGTTGCGGAGAACTTCAGGTAAGATCACTCTATATTTTACTTTAATAATACCGAATTAAGCTGAAGTATGTGAGCACATGGACCGTGGTCGAAAACTTCAATTTTGCGCTTTATTATTTTGTTTCTTTATTTCAATGACAGTAGCTCTGATCTACAAGATTTCAATCGCTGGAATTTGGTTTCCTTGGGCTATATGATCCTAAAATGGAGAAAGAATGATTTTAGAGGCAATTAGAGCAAAATAAATTTTGGCGGGAAAAAGGTGAAAGTAAAGAAGCGGTGCGAGAACAACGAGCAGTATTCAGTCGACTTTCTTTTTGCCTTTTGCACTAATCGCCTTCCGACACATTTAGACACATGTTTACATACACTTTTCATTTAGTGTACATGAAAATCTGAGAGCTTCAGCGGATATCATGGCTCGGTTATTAAAGGAATTACACGATAACATTAAGCCCTTCTTTGTTTCAAAGAAACGATGAATTCCAGTTAGGTCGAAATTCTTGAACTTTAATCCTATAATCGTAGATTTAATATTGAATTCATTGCTACGGCACTGACGGTCTGATGTGCTACAGTCTGTAAACCGGTACTGTAACTGAATTACTGTATTAATTTAATATGCGATTTGTTTGGTGTCGAGTGATGTACCCGCAATGAAGCTTGCTGACTGCTTCCAACTGCCACAATGCAAACATTATTTTTCGGTTGGTTTTTGTTCGAAATTAAGTAGTATTTTTAGAGAGCAATCACCTATGATCCCGGTCCTCGTCTTTATTGATGCAAATCTCCAGGATGCGTGATGCATGCAGAGGGTTGGATGTTATGTCACGATGTCACAAAAAGCTTATGTTTCATCATTTTTTAAGCACCGCATTTCCCTCTCGCAATCCAGGAGAGATGCGATTTAAAAGCTGAATGATGCTGACTCTGACTGACTTTGCTCTATTGAAAAGTAAAACGTGAAAAGTACTGTTATTGTAAAAAATTTTAATAATAATCTTGCTCAGGTGTCACGCGCTGGCGCCACGGAGTCTGGCGGCAACCTTCATCTCAGTTTCGAATCAACTTAAAAATACCTTTTTTCAGGTACGAAAATGAAGAATCCTTATCGATTGTAAACTTTCACAATGAGTCATATATAACTGGCATGTATGTTTCTTCTAGTTAAGAATGATCTCCCGGTTTCTCCCTTGACGGAGAATTCTTGTGCCTGGTTTACAAATATTTGTACCAAACACACCGAACGGTCCAGATAAGAAAAGCGAACAGTGGAATATACATGATCTTGAACAAATTTCGGTACATTTATGAAAACAAATAATCTGTCTACAGTCTGGCTTGTTATGATTAGCTCTTCACTACTTGCAAGCTTTGCAGTCAAATGTGCATCATTCCTTCAATTTTATATGCGTGTTGATCCGTGTTTTCGGCAGGAACGATTTCTATGATTTTTGGCATCCTTAGGAAAGAATGGAGGAATTTTAAGAAAACGTTATTCTTTTTCTTTGTATAAAAACGTTCGAGATTAATCGGCACATATTTAAAACCGCATTTTCACAAAAAAATGTAAATAATTTCGTTATTTTGCTTAGATAAGATCTGTTTGGAAAGGAGAGGGACAAATACAAACTAAGTATGTTTGATGAATGTAAATTCTTTAATCTTGCCCCGCATTCAGTATAAATTGTTCTTCTTGTAGAGCGAATTGTAGGCGCTGTAGGTTTCTGATTACTCAGTTTATTACAGTAAGGCCTATGGCAAGAATACTCTTGCAGATAGGAGATAATCCTTCGGCACTCACCCTCCATTTGTGCGTCCATTTCCACAAAAGTGTTAGTGTAGCATTTTAAGGTTAACTTTGACCAGCATTTGTGCAGCTAGTTGTATGGTCACGAGTGACTTCAAACTTGCAGATTAAAACTAAAGAGCTCTGCGGCTACTTTGCTGAAGTTAGATAAAAATCTAGCCTTGTTGTAGGAGTTTGAAAATATTTACTTTTTTTGTAAAAATTAGAATTCGGTTAAATAGTTCCTGCCAAAAAACGCAATTCAAAAACACAACCAACATAACGGTAAGTCATAAAGGTACCGTAAGCGTCCTATTGTAAGTTCCTCCCCCCCAATCCAAACAACCCTATTTATCGGCCCATCTACCTGTAAACAAATAAAGTACACCCTCATAAAAAGGCGCCATCTAGCATTTTTTGTAAATGAATTCGACTTTTGACATCGTTTTAAAACTTAAAAAAGCAAGAAACTTTTACAAGTATTTTGATCAGCACTGCTATGTAGCTTTTTAGTTGAAACAATTTTTTTAGTCCGAATATAAGCAACCCCCCGCCCCCGTGAATAAGCCGGCTTAAAATCCCTTACGAAGTTGTATAAACCCAACAACAACGACAACAACAGCAACAAGTTTATTTCAAATTTAATATAGCTTATAAAGCTTGTGCCCGCAATTAGCGAAGGCTAACCCAGGGCTTATAATCGAAGTTTACGGTATGTACCGTCCCAAAGGGTATGGGAACTACAGGAGTGTATGAACGTATTTGTCGTTCCAATTTCAAATGAATAAGAAAGTAATACACGAATTAGAGTAATACATCAAATCGAAGTGGATTTTGTTTTGTGTTCTAATCTGCGTGATGGTGTTATAATTACTTAGAGACAAGGTCTGATAACTGGTATATATTTCAACTTGCATCCCCCCGCACAACAATTTCTTTGGAGAATTCCAAAAGCTATGATAATGTTATAACACTCGAAGACTAAGTAAATTAATCTTGCACACGTATGACAACCGAAAACGATTTATTTCACATTCAACCTTTACGCTACCCTGTGTAGCTGGCGCATCGTCATCGCACGCAAAGTTCCGAAGCCGAGAGGAGACGACGGGACAAGCAATTCCGCAAACTACGCATGCTAACTTACGCAAGAAAGAGTGTTTGCCGGTAGATATCATCACATTAAGCAAACAAAAACTGCACTTGCCACGCCACAATGTTAGCCACCTAAGGGAAAAGGTATCTAGTTACAATGGTTAACCTTTTTTACATCAGCTGCAATATACAAATTTCATTGTCAGTGATACAACAAAAAGCAGGAGTTGTTTATGCAGTTAAAAGTTTTGATGTTGTTACTGTAAATGAATGAATAGGCTGCCTGGCTTGATTTCTTGTCAAAAATTAGTTTGAGACAATTAACTCAGCAAAATAGACCAAATTCTTTCTAATTTTGTGAAATCTCATAAGTGATAAAGGAGTGCAAGGCATTTTCTTAAAGTTTAAATGGTGTAAAAGAGACTTTTGTTCTTGGGCCATCGTAGTTTGATCAAAGATAAAACACAAACAGCGGTGATAAACATTGTAAAGCTGACAATGTTTATCACCGCTGTTTGGGTTTTATCTTTGATTAAGTGGAGTCATTTTGATGAAGCCTCACCTAACTTTTCCTTTACTTTTGTAAAGGAAAACAGCCCACATAGAAGAAAGCCATGTTATATCTCAGGAAACGGGCGCGCAAAAACGAATCTAAGGTCTGTAATTGTTTAATCGAAGTTGCAGTTGCGCCTCATTTACGAGGTAGCTGCCGATGGTTATGTCAGTTTTTAGATTTTTAATTCTTTTTGGGGACTCATCTGTGGTGTTGGGTTCAATTGATGCAAGTGTAAGTATAGAGAAATTTCTTAACTAAATTTGAACTTGTATACTATTTTTAATGCAGACGATGTTTTCCCAGTTTAAGTGGGATAAGGCCAAGCCCATATTCGACGCAGGATCGTCCAAGAAGAGCAAGGGGTCAGACCAGAAGGCCATTCTATGTTCCCCACAACACCTGGACACATGACGTCTGTGTCCTTGCCCTGGTGAACGAAGAAATTGCTCCCAACAGGGACCGCTTAGACCAACTTAAATGTGGAGGTCTTGGTAAAAAGAGAATAACATTTAACAAGGATGGAGATCATGCCTACTTTATCAAGAAGTTAGAAGAAGAATTCCCCAAATTGCAGTTACAGCAAGGAGCCATCGAGGTTTTGAGGTCAAGTACCGGGGGATCGGGTGCTCGGCCATTAACGCCAATTCCATTAGGTTCTCAGGGTTACTGCATCCAAGAACTAAGGGCATCCCTTAATTCAGCCACATTATTTGTAAGGCCGTTGCAAACTGATTTAGAACTAGATCAAGTTGTACAAGTGACCAGAGAAACACCTAAAGTGACCTGCATCCACTGTGGAAAAGAGGTAAACTTGTGTGAACTGAGAGTGCATTGCCAGTCCCTAGAATGCACTCTGGCGAGACCTGGAACCAGTGCCCAAACAGTTGACACAGAGGGAAATAGGGACGATTCTTCTCGAAGTCCTTTAAGCAGGTGTACAGTTGATCTAACCAGTGATGAAACTGTTGCGGAGACAGTTGGAGATTTAATGCCTTTGTCCTCGTCTCATTGGGGAAGCACAGCTTCCCTTAGTGGAAAGCTGGAAGTTTTGAGGGACATGTTCCCGCAAGTCGAACTTGATAGGCTATCAAAAGTTGCAGCTTCAAGTTTTTCACTAGATGACGCGATCGATGAACTGGTGAATTGCAGTCCTGAGCAATCTAACAAAACGCTGGTGCAAGTGCTGACAGAGTTCAGATCCCAAGTAAAACCGGAAGAAGAAATTAATATCACGGTTGAGCGAGATAACATATGGTGCAACGTCCTTGCATTTTACAAGAAGTCTGACAAAGAAAGACTTAGAAAGAAGCTTGTGGTAGCTTTTGAGGGGGAAGATGGCGTTGACGCAGGTGCCCTTGCAGCTGAGTTTTTTCAGCTTGCTCTTGATCAAGTTAAGAAAAGACTTTTCCAAGGAAAACCAGAGAGGGTGCTTCCAATAAAAGATTCGACAAAGGCACATTTGTTTTTTATCGCAGGAGTGATCGTCGCTCATTCTCTTCTCCAAAATGGCCCCAGCTTCCCCTGCCTTTGTCCAGCATTGTATGACTATTTGGTCGGGAGGCGTGACGACGTGCCCATACATGTTCGCAATGATGACATACCCTTAACTGCTGATACAGAAGCTGTGCTCGATCTTATAAAAAAGCTCGATGATTGCGAAACAGCGACCGATCTGTCAAGTTGTCTGAGTGACGACAGATTGTGGGGCGTTATCTCAGCATCTCATTGGCCAAATGAAGTCTGTATCACGCTCCAAAATAAAGGTAAGATATAAAAAAGATGATTTGGGGCAAACTTGGAAGGCTTACTTTAGTATGGCAAATGTTATTTGATATTTTTCCTGGGGTGCCAGCTGGTACAAATAGCACAATAACATTTTGCCAGCAAAGGCCCTGTTCCTTTTACACGTGGTTTGGATCACTGCAGATTTAATTATGTAGCCCTGAAGCAAATAAAAAATCAGCAGTCTCCCAAAATGTTGACCTTACCATCAACAGTGCAGGATCGTACTGGGAAAACTTCCAAAAGGGATAAAACTTAAATTTGAAAACAGACAAATCATTGACCGTTTAACTCCATTCCGTTGCAGGTCAGAGAACTGCAGCTTTCAATTAAAAAGTGCTATTCTAAGTGTACTGCACTTGCTTGAAACAAAGGGACTAAAGTTACTGTAATCTGTGTAATGTTTGTATCTCCAAGAAAGACTTTTTTAAATAACAACTGGTGTCAAGTGCTTCCAGGCTATGGTCTTTAACACCTTGTGAGTCCCTTCAAGTACATAAAGAGTATTATGAAGATCATTTTCTTTATTAAAAAGTGCCATAATCCATCTGGACAAAAGGAGTTAATGTCAAGTGGACGTAGCAATTTATAATCGGAAAATATGTCGTGTGATCAGGGAGTGTCGTTAGCTATAATAAACATTTACAAATGGAACCACGTGTTGACCAACAAAAATGATAATTGTGACGCGTCTGAGTTAAATTTCGTTTCACTAGTATACACCATTGATGATCTTCGTTTTCATAATAGTTTCACTTGAAGTATAGTTTATTAATCCAGGTACTCGATCTGGAGCAACAAGGAGATACTATGAAACAGTAACACGTCCTTTGAACTTCGCTTCTCATTCCGTGTTAACAAGATGAATTTTATTTGTCACTGTAGCTACCTTACTAGCGCATGTGGTGGAGCAGGAAGTGCTGTGGAGCCGAAAGCAGGAACTAGATGAGTTTGGTGCTGGACTGGAATCATTAGGACTACTGACACTTCTGAAGCAGAACGCTGCAGTGTGCCCGAGCTTGCTGTGCTTTGATGAGAATGCAACTTTTGGACCCGAGGAATTTGAGAAATGCTTAAGCCGACCCGCGCAAGACCCGGGTGATTTTGTTCAAGAACAGACCTACAAATGGTTCAATAGCTATATAAGTGAGAATCCGAGGTCCGAGGCCTTTCAAGGAGGGTGCAGGTTGAAAGCTCTCTTGCATTTTTCTACTGGATACCAAGTTCCTCCTCCTGGTGAGAATCTCCCTCACAAAATATCAATCTCTTTTTTACCCGATGACGAGAAGTACCAGCTTCCTATTGCTCAAGCCTGCTTTGCATATCTTAAACTGCCTACCGTTCACTCCTGTAAGGCCAAATTCCATGAATTTATGGATATGGCCTTAAAATGTGAAGGTACTGGCTTTGGTTTGTTTTAGGGAAATTGAAACCAAAAGTACCTTAGGATTGCAAAATGTGAAATTCTTTTATCAGTTACCATCGGGTTTTTGTTTACCTGAGTTATTTTGAACTCACAATGGTCGTATTCACACTAGAGAAGGGTTACCTGTCTGAGACAGGTGATCCGTTGGAAAATTCGCGTCTGACAGGTAATACGTCTTAATTTGAAAATCGAACGGTCTTAATTTTCGATTGACCATCCGCCTGACTTTATCCATTTGTTTTTTCGTCCATTTTGACAGATTTTGAAGATGGATTATCCGTCTCTAGTGTGAAACGGCCAAATATGAAATAAATGTGTTTTATCCGTCTGTTGAAATTAGCAACGGTTTGGTTCTTATACTTGTGAGTACGCGACGCTTACATATAGGGTCGTAGGTAGCTGCAATTCCACACCGGTACACTATGTATTACGTATTCTAGACCGCCTATCGTTCAGTTTTCTTGAGGCAAGTTAATTCGAGGTCTTACAATGGCACTAACTTGTACGTGTTATAGTCAGTCGATAGTATTCAATATCAAATGTTCAGCCCAGGTTGAAATTTTAAAGTTTTACAATTTTCCCACTGTTGTTCTGGCACATCTTTAGCGAGGTATTGCGACGAGTAAAACAGCAAGGAAACTTGCAAACATTCCGTTTTTGGCGTTTTCTGCCTTTTGTTTTACGCACTCATGTAATGCGTATGTAAACATTTTTTATCTTTCACTTGACTGTTTGGTTCCTGTTGAGAAGTTATGTTTGAGTTCTACCTTTATTAAGGCTTCTATCATGTTAGACCTGCTGAGTTTCGACTTCTTTTCACCTCCTGTTTTGTTCAGGAGATGAAATAACGGTGCAGCGATAAGTGACTGAAGAGAGCGTCCCTTGTCAGTTGGGTAGACTAGGCGTGGTAATAGTATTGCTCATCACTTCAGTTCTAATGTTGAAGAGGACGATAATGACTTTTTCCTCTGACCTGAATTTAAAAGATGGGCCAGTTTCACTTGAATGTTCTTATAGTTATCCTTTACTTATTAACATTTATGCCATCGTTTCTTTTTAATAAAGCTTGCAATTTATTAAAGAAAGCCAAAATGATGTATTTAATTATGTTATACTTTATGATGATATGCCAATTCATCATGCACCTGGTGGAGAGATTGCCTCCATTGCCCCCCAAAACAAAAACTACTACAATGGCAACAACAAAAATAGACGAAATCGTGGAAAATGAGACATCTTGCTACAAGATTACTCCAGATATGTTTTTACTATCCCTTGGCAGACTCTAAAAAGGTTTGTTTTTTGGTTCTCTTCCTTGCTCAGAGAGGTTTTCCTCCGGGTACTCCAGTTCACCTCTCCTTAAAAAACCCACACTTCCCAATTGCAATTCGGCCTGGAACCGCACGGACACTTTTCAACGATTTCTACAGAACTCCTAAGTGCTGCGTTGGTAAACAAATTACAGTGTAATTTTTTTCCCAAGTTCTAAATTATATTACCAGATTTCTTCAGTTGGCGCGCTTAGGCGACGGAGAAGAGAGATTGCTATAGCATCTAAACGGTTAAGTTCACTAATAACTCAATCAAAAGTGTTTCAGCAAATTAAAACAGTCATTTCCACCAATTAGTTAATGATAACAATCAAGGCTATTCTATTCTGCCGTAGCAGTGTTGCCCTCGTAACAGCCTTTACATGCCATATCACAGAAATTGCTTTTTTGATTAATCAGTCATGGTCGAACAGGGTTTTTGGGTATACGGTATACAGGGGCTTTTTAAATCGGGTATACGGTATATTGCAGCTTAAATACGGGTATTCGGTGTATCACTTCCTTTGAATTTCAGGTATAAAGTATACCTTCGATTAATTTTGGGTATATTTGGATGAATTTTGGGTATTTTGGCGAATTTTTTTCGGGTATACTGGCATACCACTACCCCCGCTGACCGACCCTGATCAGTGAGGGGCCCGGTTGCATACCTGAAGGTAGCGGAGAAATGAGTTTGCGGTTAAAATGCAATCCTTCCGAGAAATTTTCAAGGTGTAGCCGAATGGTATATTTCAGCTGGAAGTTCAGTTAATGCCAAATTATAGCATCCGGACAGGAAAACAAACTCCATTAACTACCATGTAAAAAGCCCTGCTGAACCGAATCATTCAATGAAAATTACTCTTTCCTCTGATCAATTGTTATATATCAGCACAAAAACGAACGACTTACAAGATCTTGACAGATACCATTTCAATTAGTTGATTGTCATTTGCGTTTCCTTGGCTCAAAAGCTTTTCGTTGTGAGGAGGCGGAGGGAGTGATGATGATCATTGGTCAGGTTTTAGAATAGCATGAACCCCGTGTTGCAGCCCAGCTTTTCAGCAATAAACTCGACTACTGATATGTAAACATCGATGCCAAATGCATCGCTGTGGCGAACCGGACTGTGTAAGGCTGCCAGTTCGCTATAATCAGCATCGCTCAAAGGGCAAGGAATTCTTGGCACAACTACAGCAGCCGTTGATTCGTCTTCTTCCATTTCTGGCAAAGGACCACCCCAATCAACACCATAGTAAGTGATGTTCTCCTAATGGGTTCATTAAAATGGAGAAAGAAGAAGGTCAAACCTAACATTTATAGTTTTCTGAAAAATGTTTGGTAAATGATGCAACTGAACTCGGTGATGAAAAAAATTAAGGTTATACCATCTGAGCAATCCTACCGGGAACTGAAGAGAACTACAAAATTATGAAAATTATATTGTACCCTGTTTGCTCATATAGTTTAATCCTGGAACACAAAGAACAACGAGTAAATGTCGTATTACATGCTTACCGCTTCCCCTAATTCACTTCCTGCAACTGAATGAGCTGGCCTTAGTAAATACCATAGCTGCACAGGTGATTTATTTCCCTCTGTAGATAGCGGGTGCATATCCCATCCTCTTTTAAAAAGCTCCAAATGCCTGTTGATTCTTGGGAGATACACATAGTGCAGGGCAAACAGGTGTAACTGATTTGTAATATCTAGGTAACCATGTTCTTCGAGGTACATAAACGTATGGTAGAAGAATGACGTACATCCTGTAAACAGATCCCTCCATAGACGCTCAATCCTTTGATTGTGGCAACTTTTGCCAGCGATAAAACTGCCACGATCGGGTCCTCTCTGTGGGTGACTCAACATGAAGCGAGCAACATCCATGTTCTCCACGCCGTGGTCTCCTCGCACTCTTGATGGGAGTCCATATTGTTCCACTGCTTTCAGGAAGAGGTCAAACACAGTCTCAGATTTATTGTTGTCGCAGCAATGCAGAGAAGTAATTAGGCGTGTTGCACCATCGATAGCACCGTGAATAACAAGATTCCACCTTCGTGAAGAAGAGAACATGCAATTTAATTTAATACTTTGCAACAGACGAAAGGAAACGGTTTCAATGCCTTAGGGTAGATTATAAAGGATAAAAATTATAAGGCCACCGTCTATTCGTTTCTCAACCACTCAAGTTTTTTGGACGCAAGGGGGCTGTTAGTTTTTATCAGTCTGTTTTTTTAAAGTTATTCAAAGAGGAGTTGGAACACAGAGGAATATACTTCGTGTACCTTATAAGTTTGTGGTTGCTGTCGATGTGCCAGAGAGCCAGGGCAACCCTCACCGAATACTCTCTTCGATGAACTATGTTCAATTGAAGTGACCTAATAAGGACGCCTTCAGGATCTGTCCTTCTCATTGCTTCTCTTATTCTCTCCCAAGACACCCTTATATCCATGGATAATAAGAATCCTCTCATTCTTCTCACCCCACAGTTAGGAAATTCTGAAATGATTTCTCTGCAAGTTTCGTCTAAATCGTTGTCAGAGATGAGAGTGTAGCGGGGGACCTCCTCTCTGAGGTTGAAGTTTGCCATTCTTCTTTGAATCGTTCGAATGCTCACAGACAACATCGAAGCAATTTCCCGAGCGTTAAAGCCAAATTCCAGCAAAAACTTTAAGGTTTCAGCGTGTATTTCCATTCGTGGTCTACCTCGCATTCCATTATAAACAATTGCAGGTGTGGTGGGATCATCCTCAGATTGACGGCAATTTTCCACTGCTGTTAACGCTGCACGAAGAACCGCTAAAACCTGTCCGCCATCTTGGTAAAGATGTGCCGATCTCAAAAGTAAATCAATTAAGTTTTCCAGCCGGAAAGAAATGCAATCGCTGTCAATTCCGTTTTGGACTTGTTGTAATATATCAATCAGGGCACGCCTAAGGTACTGAATAAGCACCTCACGAGGTGAGCAAGATGGAATGTCTCGTTCGAATACCATTTCGGTTTGCTTGCAGTTATACTAAATAATACTGTTTTAGATCCAGGCCTGGATCCTAAGTAAACTTCTCACGTGATGCCCTTTTTGCAAATTGACTTTTTTGCGATGCCTTTTTGCGTTATGCCTCTTTGCGTGCTGCCTTTTTGCGTTTTGCCTTTTTGCGTTATGTCTCTTTGCGTGATACCTTTTTGCGTGTTACCTCTTTGCGTTATGCCTATTTGCGTGATGCCTGTTTGCGTGATGCCTTTTTGCGTTATGTCTGTTTGCGTGTTACCTCTTTGCGTTATGCCTATTTGCGTGATGCCTGTTTGCGTGATGCCTTTTTGCGTTATGTCTGTTTCCGTGTTACCTCTTTGCGTTATGCCTCTTTGCGTGATGCCTTTTTGCGTGTTGCCTTTTAGCGCGATGCCTTTTTCTGCGTGATACCTATATGATAGTGGCTTTTTTAGTATTTCTTCCTCTTACCGTGGTCTTTCTTTTACCAACTTTGACTCGGTGTATTTCAGATTTGACTTAACCCTTTTCAGGTTTAGGTTACTGAATTTTGTCATAGATATACCCTCATATGTTCCCGTCGCTAACGAACTAATAAATTCATTAACGGAAAAATGATTTCGTTTATTGATTCAATAATCCATTCATAAAATGAACAATCCAATATTCATATTTAGCCTCGATTCCATAATCGAATGTTGATTCGATTACTGTTTTTTGAAAAACTACACTTTTTTTTCTCCTTTTTTTCTAAGAGTCGGGTTCGGGCGAGTTCTGAAATTCAAACCCAAACAAACTGTTACATGTACGTCATTTTGGGCGCTTTCCATTTACGAAAAAAACCCGGAAATTTCGGTGGTAGCAAAAGTGGAATTTCCGATTGGTAAAAAGTTGTTCCATTTGGTCGTAAACCCCGGTACGTGGCCGGGTGCCCGACCGTGGACCTGGAACTGGTACAAACTACAAGAAACGTCAATGGAACACGACATTCCGTTCGGAAATTCCAACCGGGAAAACGGGACCACCTTTTTAGATTTTCCACTTTTTCTGGGAATTTTCCAGTGGGACGAACCGACGAAACGTGTTCCATTTACCGCCGAACCGGAAATTCCGGAAATTTTGACTAAATGGAAAGCGCCCTTTGTTTCCAGTAATCACTGCAACGGACCTGACCTCTTAGGAAACACGATAGTGAAACTAAGGTCAGTGTATGTGCGGTGATTGGTGGATTTCGATCCCCGGCCTTTGTCAGTTTCTTTACGTTTGCGGTCTGTCTCTTCTAGCTGTTATTTTGATTAAAGGCAATTACAATCGTGAACGGCAGGAAAAGGGAAGTGCAAATAAGATTGAACTCAACAGACAAGAATAAAGAACAGGTAGATTTTGTTCATAAACCAAATCAACCTTTAATTATTGAATCGAGGTCCAATTTGACTGTTGGATTATTCATTTTATGAATGGACTATTGAATCAACAAACGAAATCATTTTTCCATTAATGAATTCATTAGTTTGCCAGTGACGGGAACGCTTGACCTGGTTTGACTGTAACACTCATAACTGGGCAAACATTAAGATAAATATTTACCAAATCAACATTGCCCGACAACCGCAGACTCATATTCAGAAAATAGAGGTGATATATATTAAAATTTGAATATACTCAAAGAAGTATAAGCCTAAATACAAAAATGTTTAATGCCTTGTTCGGTAGTCTAATAAATATCTGGTATACATTCAAAATTTTTAAGTTGCATTAGAGATGGTCAAGCCGTACTTAGATCTGTGGTTCTAGATTTCTCTTGTTAGGTTGCATGAAAATTTACTGCAGCTGTCATTTTGTCTATTTAAATGAGTCAAGAAGGTCTTAAACATACTTGATAATTAAAAAAAAAGAAAAGAAAAGAAGAAAAAAGAAAGAAATCGTGAAATAGTAGGAAAACCGTCTTGAATATGTTAATGAAATATTTAGTTAGCACTGAATGTGATCTTTCCCACAATAAATTTTGAACGTAACGTGTAATTTCGCAGAATCTAATATCAATATTAATCCGTTTCGTGACTCACGCGTTTATGTTTTACTTAATTTCTTCTTGCTGTTTAAGGCGTCAAAAAGGTTTACACCTTAGGGTGGAATTTACTATTTATATGGGAAAACGGGACATTCCGGTTGAAAAATCAAATGGTTTGTGTCATTCCATTTAGGAAGCTTCAGAGAAGATTTAAGACGAAGAAATGCCTTTGTACTCTTTTTAGTCTGTTCAGCCGATTTGGATATAATTTGTTGCCGCTCGTTCTCAAACTTTATTCACCATTCTCAGCGAGACCATAATTATGCACCTTGTTTACCCCCTCCCCCACCCCCACCATGTTTTTCATTACCATTGTTTCCAGTTTTTTTTCTCCTTTTAATACAGTCGCCCCAAGAGAAATCGAAGACAACTATTATGGCACATTTTGGGGTGTAAACAAGATACTTTATGCTCTTGGTAAAATTGTCAATAGTTTTTATATCTATGCACAAGATTTCCACCCCGCGGCGGGTGGTCTGTGTGAACGGTAAGCATCTCTCAGCTTCCAAAAATTGTTTATTAGGTATGCACATCAGCGTACGGGGCGGGGGCTGCAGCCCCCCCTGTCGGAAAAAAAATAGTATTATTCGGGCAAAACTGATGTACTGTTCGGGCAAAGACACGGTAAAAAATATTTTATTATTTAATATCTTGATTTATTTGTCTTCATCCCGCATCCCGCAAAATGGTTTCCATGACATTTTACCTGTTCTATATAAAGTTACCTCCATCCTGGTGTCGAAGTAATCGTTCTTCACACTTCTTTTAGAGCCCAGATAGGTACGTTTTATCTCTCACTTCATGGTTTTGTATTTTAGAAATGTTCATCTCGATTTACCGAAAATATTTGCACTACTTTGAACGCCCGTGCTCTCACGGCATGGCGAAGAAAACTTGACGTCACGAAAGAATCATCTTGTGCACCTGTGACCGACAAGTTTCATTCGGGCAAATTATGTTCAGCCCCCGCAACAAAATTTTTACCGTACGCCGATTGGTATGGAATACAACAGACGCGTTGATCAGACATAATAACAACTCAGGTTCGATTGATGATCTTTCATTAGCCTTGCCGCCTGAAGCGACAGACACACAATTGAGAAGAAATTCATAAATAATGAACATTTAAAGGGACTGGTTCACGATAATGCGCATGCGCGCCGTTTGTCTCTTCAGAATAAATTTGTTGGGTCAACACTAAATTCGAAATCGCCATTACCGGTACAATCATTGAAAATCCTTCGTTTTATTCGGACATCCGTCGCTTTGGCTGGTCTAGTTATACTTCGGTAGTGGTGATTAACGTGTGGTTGTGTCGTTTGACTGGTAACGTTTTAAGAAGACGCAAAAAATAATGTTTTGATCATGGAGGTTCAGAAGAGCATCGTGGCTGTCCGACAACAGGACGTTCTCAAGAGTCTTTGGAGATAGAGAAGCTTAGCCTATCGATCTGGTATGGTTCTACGAGTAGTGTGTGGCTTATGAAAAGTATACACGACACTTGGAAAGTGCTTAACTGCATGAGTTCGTTCAACTTTGATTTGATTTTTGACTCCGACCTGTAGTTATACCGCAACAGGCCGCGCGATCTTCACCGATCTGGTACACTTGAAATGTTCCTTGTATCTTTGCTTTACGATCGTATATGTTTAAGAATTGATGTTTTTAAAATAAATTATTGCCTGAATATTCTGTTTATAATCTAGTTTCTTTATGTGTGCTACTCGATAACATTTGTTTTGCGGAACACTGACCCGATGCAACGCGAATGAATTTGTTCATTTGCTGATAAGCATTTGAAATTTATGCTCAATTAAGGATAATCTTTATATTCATACGTTGTGCGTTTCTGTCACCGGTCAGGTGCTATTTGTAGGTATTTCTGGATTTTTATAAGGCGAACTGAGAGAACAGTAATAAGATGTTTGTTTACAAATTTTGTTTGCCAATCGGTGACTGCTTTGTTAGCGTGGGTACGACCTCGTAAAATACTCGTTGGTAAATGTTTGTTTCAAAGCAGTACAGGGCTGTAAATCTTATTCTTATCGGCTGCAACATATATCTGAGGAGTAGCAAAGAATAAACTTGAATTATGGAGAAAAATAAAATCAAACCAAATGCCCGGAAATACTCTCGCGTCGTGAACAATGAATTTGAATTTTGTAAATTTACTTGCATGCATCTAATTCGCTTCCGATTGGTTGAAAAACAATCAGCTACTGTCAGAACTCACACATGCGCATTATCGTGAACCAGTCCCTTTAATATTGCATATAAATTAAATTGATGGTTTTTGAGAACACCTATCGCTTTACCAATTGCAAACACTCAGCGTTTCACAGTGTTTGTCAAGTTCCTCTATTTCACGGAGTTCTCCAAGAGTCTCTTCTCTAATCGGGGATGTTCTCTTTTTACTTTTGCGCGTTGCCCCTCATTCCATTGTTTTCCTTGATACCTAAGGCCACTTTTGCTCAAATGGAAGGTAAGTTTTCTTTTACATGTATTTATATAGAAGGATCGTGGGTGGGAGCGGAATCATGAATCATGAATCAATCAGAACATGTCAGAATCATGTTAACCGACAACTTGGGAATCATGAATCTTAAGGTGTTTGTAATTCGGTTCGGCAACCATGAATAACGATACTCTGAGAAAAGCTCAACAAAATACACGTCTGAATTAATTGCTTTTGATCCAGGAAATGCAGGATATGGCGTTTCTGAGAGTCCAATTTTCAATTTTTTTTCCGGGGAAGCATGCCCCGGAGCCCCCCCTTATCATGCCCTTGGGGCTAACACTCACCTTGTTTCTTAAGTAACCTAGTGCTTAATATTGTAACGTTGTATCTAAACTTTATAACCATGCTCCTATCTCATTAACTGAGTCTGTCTGGCAATTTCGATTATGATATGAGCCGATATCTCATTCCAACTATTACAACAAAAAGCATTGTAAAAATTATCGTAAGTCGTTTAACATTAGATTTCTCTTAGATAAAAAAAGTAACACTAATTCAGTCACAAGTGCAGATCAAGACCTGTTTTCAACTTTATGAAAGACCTTCAGTTTTTTGGAAGAATATAGTTTGCTTAGCTGCAGACGCCGATTTTTGATTGGATGTTGTTGACCAAATGGTTAAATAATAACTGATTTAAAGAAGACTTGGTAAGCGTTTATTGTTTAACGACATCCAATCAAAAAGAGGCAATCAGCGAGACGGTTTCTGGCTGGCACGTTAAAAGCATCGTAAAAATTATCGTAAGTCGTTTAACATTAGATTTCTCTTAGATAAAAAAGTAACAGTAATTCAGTCACAAGTGCAGATCAAGACCTGTTTTCAACTTTACGAAAGACCTTCAGATTTTTGGAAGAATATAGCTTGCTTAGCAGACGCCGATTTTCTTGGTCAAAAGGAGAAATTTCGAAGTCGCGTGCGCATACCCACGAAGAATAAAAAGGAGAGGAGGTATTGAGGTGACAGACCAACTCCCAAGAGGCACTTTTTCCATGAACTGTCAGAGAACCTAGAAAGCGGACAACCAGGGCTTTCGCCGTAGACATGCGTACCTCCTCTCTCCTTCCCCTTGTTCCCCTCTTGCACTCTATGAAAACTAGCTAGGGAAAACTAACTGGCGTCTACTACGCAGGCTTTTGTCAATAAAATAGAACACACTTTTAGGGGGTAAAAATTCTAAATACTTATCGTGGACATTCGCAGGTCGGGCCTTCAATGCCAGTCTAGTAAGTGGAGCTCCAAGCGCGCGAAGCGCGCCTTATTGGAGCCGATAGGAGCCTGTCCGTCCGCACCACAGTGTCGGAGCTTGCAAGCTGATATTGCACATCTAATATGTTGTTTTCAGTTTACAACCTTCACCGTATTCGCGGGCTCAGGTGTCGACCCATCAAGGTTACGTATTTTTTAAGTTCACCGCTGACATTTTACTATTTTTCAACTGATCGCAGGCTCAACTCCAGGTGGATTTCTTTGCAATGATTACAAGTTTTTTCTTTGAAGTATATTATGAATTTACTAACGGGAGTTTCGCCCTTGGCCTTGGCTAAATCTACATATTAAACAGTTAACTTCTCAAGCGATCCACGCTTTCTGAGTGCGAAAGAAGTTTTAGTGTTCGCAACATTGCAGCTGGATTGCAAAAAAAGTTAAATCCGAAATTTAGAAGGACGTTTACAAGAGCCGAGGGTTTTGATAAGGGATATTTTGATAGAATTTGGTTACGGAATTTCTTCTCTGGTTATGCTAGATCGAGTTCCCTCAATTTCGTCGTCAAGAATAAGATTGTGAACTAAAGATAATTTTACTTGTAGTTTTGAATTAAAAAACGCATGCCATTGCCGTTCAAAAAAAATAGCGCAGAAAAAAAAAATTCAACAACATCATATATATTAAACAATTAGCACAGAACTGAAACTTAAAGACCTCATTAAAATGCAAAGACGCTACCGCCCTTGGAAATGAAAATAGTACTAGTCACTCGGGGAAAGAAATTCTGCAGACAAGTCAAGTTGGTTTGGTCATCGTGAAAAATTGTCTCTCCAATCGCGACTCAGACTATTAAACAGTGATACAATTGTATATCGAAGACCCTAGTACAAAGCGACGATGCGGAGTAGTAATACAGCCACGGAATTAAAAAAGAGTCGTGACTCGAGAAAAGTAAACAGTGCAAACAAATTGTCATGGTCATCGTGAGAAGATTGTCTTTTGCTAGCTAGTTGTTTATTTAACAGCTTAAGTACTGAAACATCAGGAAAAGATATTTTGTTCAAGTGTCAAGGGCTGCAGACGGGCTGCAAGGTTTTCCATTCCTTACCAAAACCACCCCACCCCTCCCTTAGTAGGCAAGCTTGTTACGCCAGCTGGTACCTAAAACAAACAACTCGCCGGCTGATTTCTTCAACCATGATGGGTAAATTGAGGTTGCAAAAAAGGACATTTCTTAATCCAGCCTACTTGGAATTAAGTGCTCAAATTTCGTGTCAACATTCGTGTGGATTAATACATTTTATGATCTTTCATACATTGTTTACATAAAGAAAACTCAGATGACAAAACCAGTAAAGTAAAACTGACTTAGCCTTTCACGCAGGCATTCTTAGGGCTTCCTTATGTGTTCCGATCCTCAGTGCCCCTGGCCAAGTGTGAAAGCCGGCCGGAGCAGGTGTGAGGAAGCCCAAAGAACGTCTGCGTGAGAGAGTAGTGCGTTTTGACTTCCTTTTTCTTTTGCAATTGGTTTTCTTCTGATAATATTTATCAAGAAAAACATGTGAACTGTCTTCAGAAAGCAATCAAAGTATAATGACGTTGGATGTTAAAAGGCAAAGCATAAATTTCGAATTCAGGAGCCAAGAAACACTTCGTCACAATTCGAGTTAAAATTATATTGGACGCAATGCCCAGAAAACTGCCTCTTCAGTTGTAACTACTGACCTGTTAGAAATGCTCATTGATAATTATCGGTATTTCTTATTTAGTGAACATGATTTTAAAAACATATGTTTTTACCTTGGTGACAATATATTGCCTCTTACAGTCACATGTGATTGGCTTATTAACGGATGAAGGCAAGCAAGCACTTTTAGAAATGAATTGTTTTCGTGGGTGGACAGAAAATCTTGTCCTCTCCATATTACTGTTGTCGACATCTGTACAGTCGTAGACAGTTAATTCAGTTCCAATAACTACAAACTACAGTCCACATTTGAAAAGGAAAAAAAATCAAGTTGTGTCTCATTTCGAGTTTACGTGACTGAAATATGTTTGGAGATGTTGGTATAGTAAAATAAACAGTGTCAGAGAAATACTAAAATACTCAGTCTACGTGACAAACATCTGGAAATGTATAAGTAGAAAACTGATTCTAAAATTAAGATTAGCAATTGCATTTTATAACGAAGAAGTATAGCAGCGTTTTTTCAGAAGACACCAAAGTCACCCATTTCCACAAATTTCGCCAACATTCTGTTCATTTAACATGCGCATTCTCATCATTTGCTTGTTTCTTCCCTTTCTGTTTTTATTGAGGCCTTATCCGCACCATGCTCAACTGGAAGGTTAGTTTTTTTCTTAATTAAAATAAGTTAAAAAAAAAAAAAAGAAACAAAACTAGCCAAACTAAGAAATACGCAGACATAACTCTTCCCGTTCTGAATTAACTTTGTTTCAGTTTTCCACGAAACACTGTTGATTACGTCGACAACATCTCTTTATAGCCTTCACGAAAGGAAGACATACCACTGATACCGCTTCCTAACATTTCATAAAAACATTTGTTTCAATGCGTCATGCAAATTCTGCCCTCAGCTTTCTTGACGAACATTTATTGGAATGAAGGATGGCGGAATGATGAGAAAGCATGCCCACAGCATATTTTCATGTTAGGGTTGTTTGCTTGTTAATTGCTGATGTTTTTTTGTTGTTGTTGTTTTTCAGAGGTGTTGCCTTTACCGACGGTTTAAAATGCTTCGTAAAGCGTAATTTCCTTATATTTTTCTTACTACCATTTTTAAATATTAAGTTTTTCTTTTCTTGCTACAGAATTCAACAATTTGTATCACCCAGAATTCCTTCAGGATATCTTCATAAAATACGAATACCATTATTTAAACGCGACTAAAGTTGGAACGTTCACAGTACACAACAGCCTTGGCTGCGCCTTAAAATGCCTCGGCAATCCTTTCTGTTTGTCAGTCAACTTGGCTGCTTCCAAAGGAGCAGATGGAAAGTATTGGTGTGAGTTGTTATCGTCTGAAAAATACAGCAATCCCAAGATGTATGAAGGGAATAAGAGCTCGCATCACTTAACCATTATGGTGAGACTTATTTTCCATTTTCAATGAGCCAAAACATTCATTTAGGGTACAGGTGACAAATTAGAAAACAGTGATAATAAAAACGTACCTTCTGTGCAGACATTTTGAAAAAGTACTTCCGGTTAGAATGTTTTGAAATTGAAAAATATCAAGGAGGACTAGGAAAAATATGGGTTGAATTCAACATTATTTATTAAAAATTTTGAATTTTACCAGGGAAAATTGGGTTTCAGTTCACCGTAATGGTGGTTACATTATAGTAATTTTGGTTGGAGATTCATGCTATCTAGCCATCACAATAAATGAAGAGATTTACGAAAGAAGGGAAAGAAAAAAACAACGAAAGAAATAAAGAAATGAAGAAACAAAAAGAATTCTAATAAGAACGCTGAAATCTGAGAATGAATATGATGATGATATCTGATTCGCAAACGGTTTTAACTGAAAAAGAAAAATAAAGAAGAAAAATAAAGGAAGAAATGATACTATTGAAGAATAAAAGATAGCACTACTAACATAACGCTCTTTTTTCTATTTCAGAGTCCATGTTTGTCTTCACCGTGTCAAAACGGAGGTATTTGTACAGCAGACTTCAAAAATCACGCCAAGAGTACCATGATTGAATGTCAATGCAAAGGAGGTTTTAGCGGAAAATTTTGCGAAAGAGGTAATTACTGTGCTCTGAAAATTATATGTGGAAATGGTCAATCCGTTTGAGAAACTTACCATTTACTAATAATTAAATATCCAGAAGAAGTGTGAAGACCTTTTGAATCAGAACTGACACTTCACTTTCTCTACTAGTAATGCTACTTATCGAATTGGTCGTGACACTCTGAGAACTTTAATAGCGCGTGAGTTGGTTTCATCATAAAGCACCAATACATATTTCTTGATCACTCAAAAAAGTCGTTAAAGGGAGTGAAGTCGTGAATATTTCAAGCTGAAAATAATGCAGTGGAACCTCGATCATTATAACGAACTATTATGCAACGAAGTTCTTTCTAAATCGAACGATATCATCTTGCCCCTGCAGTATAATAGTAAAATATATGGATTCGAAAAGATCCTGTATGTGATAGCGAAACCTCGTTATAGCGAATAGATTTTGCCTGTCTCTTGGCCCTTCGTTATATAGAGGATCCATTGTACATGTTTTTTTCTGACTTCATGACGTACCGCAAGGGAAGGATTTTCCCTGTACATTGATCCCCTATAATAGAGAGGTTAAGCATCTCACGTTCACCTCTAGCGGCAAACGCGAATTTGTACCAAGTGACCGAGTTTCACCTTTACTTGTCAGTTATTGTTCATTATTTTAACACGTTAATTAGTAGTTTCACGCAATTTTTTATCCATAAGAATTGTTTTGAGCTGTTTTATCTGCTCATGTTGAGAAATTCTTAGTACGGAGTCTGGCGTTTGTCGTTTGCCGTAAACATGATGCTTAAACTCTCTAATGTTCTTTTATACTCCCGATTATTTTCATTCATTTCTCAGAGCAGGTTGGCGTATTCACCCGAAAGCGATAGCAGTGTAAAAATTTATCCGAGTCTCAGTTACCTGGCAGGTGTGCTTAAAAAGGCGAAGAGTCGTGAAAGCCTTTTGGGTTACCTTTGGACCTCAAATTTTAGTTTTCGTTTCCCCTTTCAGTTTATAGATCATTTTCCTTTTTTTTTTTTCAGCCGCTGCAAAGTCGTCCTCCTTATTTTCACGTAAGCGGGGCCTCTCTCTGCCACTCTCTTCTGCCTTGACAAGATAAAAGAAAATAGATATTTAAAATTTTTATTACTTCGTATCTAGGCTGAAGCCTGTCGTCTGTAGCTTCCGGGGTGGCCAGTGAAAAAGGAGGGTAAAGTCTGAAATAGGACGGCGTGAGGGATGAGGGAACTGGGAACTCTTCCACTCTTACTCGGTCTCCCTCGAGCACTCTTTCCCGTCCTCGCGCGTCGGATTTACATCTTCCCACATTTCATGCAAACAATTTCTGCACTGAAGTCTCATGGGATAACGGATCGTTGAGTTCTTTATTTTATTATTAAAGCCCCTGTTAGGAAGTTGAGGAGAGTAATTTGTTTTGTTGACAAAAAAATAATATTTTAGTATCAACATTATGAGCTACAGATTTGTCAGTATAAAATGCAATAATTGTAATCACGTGATTAGTAGACGTCTGGTCTTAAGACAAAGGACACTTTCCATTTGTCAGAACTGGCCAGCCCGGACTGGCCCAATCATAAGGAGAATTCCACCATTAATCAAGACTATCCAGCCAGATCAGTTAATTCCTTAATGATACAAGGAAGTGGCAGGCTTCGAGAAAATACTAAAATTTCATTTTAAAATTACCTCCTCGGTCTGTCCGCCGGCGAGTTCCGATTTTTTGAAAGCGCTCTACGACTGCGTACGTTGAAGCTCAATCATTTTCATTTACGCTACAGAGAATTCTACCTGAAGGGAGCTGGGAAAATTTAAAATGTGATTCTCTTGTGAACAGGTTAAAAGAGACTCGGCTGGTCACTCTTCTCCTTGACTCAAATCTAACTACCGTTCTCTGCCACATGGGAGATTTTGGATGTGGAGATGGAGGATGGACACCAGTCATGAAGATGGACGGCAACAAGGTAAACATTCGAGTGTGGTTTACCTCTAATTTTGCAGGGCGAAAAAATACGAAAAATAAAATAATCTACAATCAACTAGAAGTTTCTCTTTTTTAATTCTCTGCGCAGATATTTTAAGGAGAGATTAACTGCTCGGGAAAAAAAAAACAGTACAGTATGTTGTCCAGTATCCGGCCGGTACCAGTATCAAAAAAAAAAAAAAAAAAAAAAACATGGGGCGCCCATTTCAGTTCTCGGTAAACGAAGTATTTCGAATAAATGCCGAACATTTCAGCTTTAAGATGAAAGTTTTGGCGCGTTACAGCTTGCGAAACAGTTGCGGAAGGAACTCTTCGCACCCATGCAATGTTGGTAAAATTGGCGTATTCAACACCAGTGCCCGATTTATGAGGCAATTATAAAATTTTCAGTATACTTTCAAAATGTTAAGCAAATTGAAATCGTTTCGTTTATTTTCGCGAAGCGAAGGCCGTAATGCCCGCCTAGCGAGTTTAAATTTTTTTTTCGCTCGGTGCGCAGCGCACGGATCGTGCGTAGATCATAGCGTGCTGCAATCTCAACAGTGGCCCATATATATTTCTATGTAACCATTTTTCTTTAGTGCCCGCAATGTAATGACGTCATCAAGCAAGAGGCTTGATCGGTTTTGTTTTGACTGTTTTTGCGGCCGTTTTGGATTTCGAGAAATGCTTTTGGCAGTTACTTTCGGGCTAGAGTATTTTACAGAGAAAAATGAAGCAATTTGGATCAGTACCTTCAAATAACTGGATAAAAGAACATTTGCCAGTGCGTCTCATTTCGCACGTTGGCTTAGTAGGTTGCAGGATACAGTTTGTTTATTTGTCGGAAGTGTGTTGCAGTTCGGCTTTTTACCGTCAAATATAAAACCTCGCCTTTCCCTTAAATCTGTACTTTTGAATTCAAGCCAGACACAGAGGAAAACCAATAATGAATTGGTTGGCCGATTGATCAATCAAAGACTGGTTTAAACTCCGTTGAACTCGAGCGGAGAGAATTAAGACCGAAATAATGCAAAATGGCTTTAAAAAATGCTTTTAAGCTATTTTTCCTCAAATTAATCTATTACAGAATGATAAATACAGCTCCATCCACTTCAAACAGCTTTTATGGCAGAGAAAAGCACTGTGGCAGCGTAGCGCAGTGGTCTAGGATCTGACTTCACTTGGAGGAGGTTGGAAGGGTGTGCCGATTCAAACCCAAGTGAATATTCCTTTCCCCATTCTTGTAAATAAAGTAACACAAAGTGGGACATATTTAGAACCAAAAGAGTTTTATGATGCTAGCTTATTAAACGTTTGACTTGAGGAAGGACTAACTGATCATGGGAAAGACAAATAAACTACACTACTACTTCAGTTTCACAATATTTTAGTACTATTCTGAGGAAATGTCCTTACCAAATGTGCAGACGAAATAATAATAGACTATGCTTTCTTTGAATCATACTATTTCTGTCAATGAGAAATTATGTTTTATATTATCAATTCTTTCACAGCGAACTTTTCACTACGACTCACGTTACTGGACAAACAAAGAAACCGTTACCCCTGACGGAGGGAAGACTGGTTTCGATATACAGGAGACCAAGCTTCCATCCTACTGGAACACATCCTTCTCCAAGATCTGCCTCGGTATGAGGATTAACAACCAGTCCAGGTTTATTGTAATCAAAAGGACCGCGACTTCTCTGCATTCATTGATCGCTGATGGAAAATACCGCAACACCTCACTGGGTCGTGACACCTGGAAGTCGCTGAATGGTTCTGAGGCCTCCATGCAGTTCAACTGTAACAGGGAAGGATTTAATGCCAAGAGTGACAAGCAGTATAGTCAGGGTAGAGACCAGGCGAAAGCAAGAATTGGAATCCTCGGCAACAATGAAAATGATTGCGGTCAGTGTGACTCCAGAATCGGGTTTGGCACTGGAGGAGTTCACGACGACTCCAACACATGTGGAAACGAGGCTAAAATTACTCCACTCGATAATGGCTATAAACATATTAAAGCAATGGGCTATATTTTGGTGCAGTGAAAGGCAGCTGATTTGTGCCGATTTTAATTGCACCAAACAATTAATACAGAATTTTTAACCAAACAATACTAGATTCTGTTCACCGTTTTGCGATTCCTATATTTCTAGACTGAAATCAATCGCTAAAAAACAATAGTCCCTGAAACAAAGAGCCGAAATCATTTGCTTCATTGAAAGAAAATGTATCCACTCATTGCACTGTTTAGCTTAGTAGCTGTATTATTAGAAATAATAATTAGAATTTGTCTGTTTACTGTTAATTATGGTTATTATTATTATCATTATTATTATTATTATTCTTCGATAACAAAGCTGATAAAATCCTCTATAAAATTAATCTCGCTTTAAGAAAAGATCTATTCAGTCAAAGCACTATTTACATTTCCTTTCTATTAAGAAAGGCACTTAGTTTTGAGTAAAAAAGACCATTTCAATTTTAAAAAAAATATTCGAGCTAAAAACATTTCATTTCAATGAAAAAAAAAAGAGAAACAATTCATTCCGATTTAAAAAACCATTTTCTAGGGTAAACGTATTCTAGCTAAAAAATGCTATTATTATTATCATCATCATCATCATCATTATTATTATTACTATTATTACTATTTACTAAAAGCATGAAACATGATCGCATGACTGTACAATAATGGCGTTAACAAAATATGTCTCGGCATTCGCCATTTGCACGTTGAATGATCTATACTACTGGGTGTCCCAAACATTCGTTCCTCTAATTTCATCAGCTAAAACTTTTGATCAAAACGTTATTTTGACATGAAATTTCTAAAGGATGTTTCTTGCTCTATCGAGTACATGTATTCAGAAGTTCAGTAACTGGCATGGCCCCATGTTTTTAAATCGCAGTCTCATTCCTGTAGCAGTTGTGGCATTGATTGGAGTAAGTCATGTAGCGTGTAAAGCCCCAGATGATTCATTTTAATTTTTTTATCACCTGGTAAGCAGGAGCCACTTCGACCCCCACACAATATAATCTTTTAGATTAGGCAGCTAAAAAAAATATTTTGGGAATTAATTGATCCAAGATAAAAAGATAATCATCCCGGCTCCTTTCCACAGTAAGGCTTTTGTACTTCCTTACAAATTTGAGACGCGCTGAACGCTGCTTGCCGGACTGAGTAGAGGTATTTTATTGCCCTCTCAGGGGTAGCCTGTGTAAAGCCGCCCCTCGCGGCTGTACACAGGCTACTCAGGGGTCTCCAAACGTTGCTTTTCATGATCCTGCTCCAAAATTAGCTTGCTATCTCTTGTGACAGCTTCCTCGTCGGGTTTCCTCTGTTGTACCTAACCTTCTGTCAAAAAAAAATGTATTTGAGCGGTTTTATTCCTGACTTTCGGACCTTCCTCTCTGTTTCTTGTCTTTAAAACTCATTTCTCGATGACTGTCTTACCACCCAACATTCAGAATTTTCCATTTTTTTAGTAATTTATTTAACTGATAAGCCAGTAGATCGAAGTATCCATGCCTATGCTCTCGTATAGCTGAGTGTTTTTCGTTGAGAGGGTTTGTTTTCGTGATATTCACAAAAACAAGGTATACGAAATCGAGCAATTCGGGCTACAAAATACAAAAACATATGGCGGGAAAATTTACTCCCGCAGGCACATATCTTTCGTGCGAAAGTATACAAATCGAATATTCAAGCCAAAAGATGGTACAGCAAGTATGAAATGTTAAAAAAACACTGAAAGATGCAACTTTTGGTTAAATTATATGCCTATCAAGCAGTCTACTCGTGCCGCATTACAGACTTATAAAGTAGAGGAACGAACGTTTGGGACACCCTGTAATTAAGACGCCCACTCACAAATATATAAACGCTTCCTCAGCTATGATGTTAGGCTTGTACTTTTAGAAGTAGCTTTCATTTTTGCAGTGTAATTAAACTATAAACTTGAAAGGTAGTATTTTATATATATATATTTTCTTTCCTTTCAAATTTTAATCGAAAAGCGCTTTCTGAAATCATTCTATCAAGCATTGACTAAAAGAACTTCTTTCTGTGAAAGCGACGAAGTGTCGCCGGTTCTATGAAAAGCAGATCGAGCAGACAGGGTGACTAAGAATGTGAAGTAATGTTCTCCTTTACAAGTGGATTGCATTGATGCAGTATGATTAAACTAAAACCTTATGTATACCTGAAAGGTATGTTTTCAGATGTTTAAATGTTTTTTTTTCTTTCCTTAACAATTTTCGAAAAAAGCACTCTGAAATAAGATCGGTATCCTTTAGTACAAAAGGCAGAAGTCAAACAGCGCAAATGAAGAAATGTTCTAGTTCCCCTCATCAAGGCAAATACATGTGCAATAGCTCAGAAGCCAATGAAACAATAAAAGCTTGTTAAAACGTTATAAAAAATTAATAACCCGGGTTAAACTAAACTTTCGAAGAAATGAATCAGCGGGCATACAAAAAGTGTCATGTTTAAGATCTATTTTTAAAAAGATTTTGTTCCCTTTGGCATCGTACGCGTATAGCAGCAATTGGCAGCGGTTAACTTTTGCGCCGTGGCCAAAACCAAAGCGGGCTCTTAATCCTTATCCACCCTGGTTCACACAAGAAATACTCCTTATTATTGCCTCATTTTTACATCCCGAATTAATTATACCTTTTTGACTAATAACTACCAATGACTATGACAATGCCTGGGTAATTGGATTGTCCACAGGTGCGTATCGTGTCTTTATATACGAGTGGAAATAAGGACAAAGGCTTTATAGACCAGAGAGAAAAGCAATAATCGGTAAAAGCAAAAAAAAAAAAAAACCTATTCAATTTTTTTAAAATCAGAGAATAGGTATACATCATCTAGTATATCTGTAAACGGAAGCTGAAAATGTGGCCTTTCACTTATTGAACTTGTTATTTTTGACATTCAGTTTGTGCGAGTAATTAAAAGTTATGTCCATGCACCTTTGTCGCCAAAATTGCTCGAAATATCATCTATTCACTTGATTACAAAGAAGATAAAAGAAAAAGAAAACTCCAGGAACATTTCTCCACGTAATTTTTTGGGTTAAAAACCTCCCTCTATAGATTCCTGGGCAGGGCGTTTGTACAAAATAGCCCCCCACCACCTCAGACTACGTGCCAAGTGTCAGCACTCATGTATTCAATATTCGTCATGAATCAAATTCGCATTATTCAACAACAAAGCGCGGTTTGAATAGTCCATTCTCCGTGCCACTAAAGTGGGTCTCTCAGTTAAGTAAGATACCATGAAGGTTCCTCATGTATCAGTGCTGGATTTATTGTTGATTTGTTCCTTTTGGGGCATTTGGCTGAATTGCGTTTCAGTAGCTGATCAAGGTGATCCACTTAGTTCGATATTTTTATCCTGTGCAGTATTAATAGTAATCTTTTTAGGCCTACCTCGATCAAAGTTCCCCTTTTATTCGCGCGATGTTAAGGTTCTTTCAATTCAATAAGAAGCTTTTAAAAATTTATCAGACACGTTTGATTCCTAATTTTCCGTTTTGAAACCTAGACCTGTAAACTGATTTTTAAGAGTTTATAATGCTTGCAACGCCGGTAATATCGACGGCTGTTTAAGAAGGTTATCATCAGCTTTTATAGAGATCCCTTACTTCTCAAAAAAGGCGAAAAGTAAAACGAATTGAAACTGCATTCTCATCAGTGTTTCTCTGAAATTTTCCCTCGACCGAAAACTGTGCTCTGCATGCCCTATAATTATGTTTAAAGTAACCAAACAAAAAAAAAATACAAAGACGGAGAAGTGAAAGAGTAAATAAATTTTAATAAGAGCCCAAAACACTCAAATACGGTTTTCTACTGAAAGTAAAAAAAAGTCCTAGATGCAAACGTACTGTCAAGTTTGTTGTAAGCCATTGTTTTCAAATTTCATCCATCCTCAAAAAGAAGAAAAAATTTGGTTTAAGACTGCAAAAAATTCGTGATTGTCGAGCTTCCGCAAAAGTGTTTAAATCAAGTGTACTCTTCAGCAAGACACATTTTTATGTATACTTGTGGTTTAACCCTATTTGCCTAGAGGCGGTTATGAAACGGCCTGAGTGATTGTGAGTTTTAGACTTTGGTTTTAACTTTATTAGATTTAAATAATAAAAATTAAAGATGCCTACTCTCCATCACCTAAAATATCGCTGCTCCTGCCCCAATACATGAAACCGCTTCCTGAATCTTACATTTTGAACTTCTGTTTAAAGATGTAATGAATGTTTTGCTTGAGATCGTGAATCTTTAATCTGTTGACAGGTGTCTCTGCATTATTAAACAATTCAGTGATGTTCGTTTCTTACTCCGGCTTATACTATACTTTCTGAAAGGAAATCTGGGGCAAAAATTTACGCCAAAATTTAATTAATCAGTTGTAACACATGATGCTTCATCAAAACATAGTGCCGCTATCGACGCGATTTTTTTTCCTTAAAATGGCGAGATGAATCCACCACAACCCCGGGAAATTATAGAACTATCGCCTGGGAAGTGAAAAAGACAAAAACAAAACAAAGCAGACAAAAATATGAATTTATCAAAAAAAAAATAGATTAACACAGGGAAATTGTTATAGTACTATCGCGAGAAATTTAAAAATAATAATAATAAAAAAATTAACAACAACAACAACAAAAAACAGAGCAAAAGGAAAAACCAAACAAAATAAAACAAAAACAAGTGGAGGAAACAAACAACAATTAGGGCAAATATATAAGCACCGGGAAATTATAGAACTGTCCCCAGGATAGTGAACAAAACAAAACAAAATAAAACAACCAAATTAAAAAAGCCTTCATTAGAATTTTTTTCCTTCAGTTTTAATTTCTTACCACGCAACTTGCAGAATTTACCAGTATGTATCACCACAGCCTTCGTCAAGATGTTTTCATAAAAGAAGAGTACCATTATTTAAACGTGTCTAAAGTTGGAACATTCACTGTGTACAACAGCCTTGACTGCTCCTTTGAATGCCTCGGTAATCCTTCCTGTTTGTCAATCAACCTGGCCGCTTACAAAGGAGCTGATGAAAAGGTTTTGTGCGAGTTACTTGGGTCAGAAAAGAACAGTAATCCCAAGCAGTTTAAAAGTAACAACAACTCGCATCACTTTTCCATCAAGGTGACGTTAACTACCTGTTTATTAATAGTAAACATTCATACCATGTACACGAACCAAATTTGCAGTAAAAATAAAACAATTAATTGACTTACGTCCTGGTAAAGCTAAGAGACCCGCCAGAATGATTCTTGTTAGAAATTTCCATCTTTTAAGAAGAATAGAAACTCAGGGAATCGTCAATGTGCCTTACATTATTCGCCCAGTACGCGGTTTTCTCTGGTCCAGGCCGGACTTTAGGCTAAGAAGGGAGAGAAACCTCTCCTCGTAGCGTAGCGTCCGGCCTGGTGGAGAAACCACTGTTCGCAGGGTATTTTTAGCAGTAACGTTTCCTCACATTTCCAGTAGCTTTCTTGAACTCTTGCTTAAGTTCAGCCACAAATTGATGCAATTTCACTCTGTTTGCCCATTATCGCCAATAAACAGATGCAAGAAAAATCAAGTATTTAATTAAATTATCTATACTGATCTCCATAATTATATAATTCCTTGAAGAATTTAAAAAGTCAAGACCAATGATACTCCGTTTTGTAATCATTTTTTTTAGTTTTTGTAACCTTTTTCTCTTGATACGCCCTATTAATAATTTTGAGGAGGAAATTGATGTTGGTCATTCGGCTTTGGACTTAGGAGCTGTTTACATGGAGGGAGGAAGTAGGAAGATCCTAGAAGGTGGAATAACTTTACGTTGGGTTTACATGCAGAAATTTCGGCCAGTGAGTTGTCCAAGTAGAGAAGGATAGAGAAGGACTTAAAAATGAAGGACGACAAAATCAAAAATGCAATCTGGGTCCAGCTGCTCTCTATACTGGCGTAAATCACTACCTTTCAGCTGAATTAACACAATAATCTGCTCGTGGACTACTCCAGACGAAATGGTCTGCACTTTATTGCCGTAATTAGCCACTGAACGACTCGCCGACATTTTTAATTGTCCCTAGTACTAGGATCTTCCTAGCGAAAGCAGTTTACATGGTGCTATACTAGGATCTTCCTACCTCTCAGCTAGGAAGATCCTAGTACTAGGGACAAGTACAACCCTTTGGGTGTAATCTGAATACAGGAAACATATCATAATGGCTCTAGGATGATCCACCCTCTAGGATCTTCCTGGTACTAGGATCTTCCTCCCTTCATGTAAACAGCCCTTTAGTTTTGGGTTAGAAACTATATTGTGATTTCCACATTGTATTTCCAATTTTAACACCCTTGCAGTAGACATATAAAATTGACTTTTTGTCAAGATGACTGTTTAACTATGTTTATGCCGCTAAAACGTACTTTTCGTCATTTCAGACTCCATGTATATCATCACCGTGCCATAACGGGGGCACTTGTGTAGCGAACTACAAGTATCACACGTTCTACTGCCGTTGCAAAGAAGGTTTTATTGGAGAATTTTGCGAAGGTAATTGTCACGTACTGCACGGATTTTGGAGAAGGAAACTACACTGGAAAAACTAATTTTGTCAATTTTGTAACATGCACACTAATCCATTTCTGGTAAATTAAGAGGGACTTAGTCGAGGTAATGGTTGCTTCCTTTTTCAGCGATTCCAAATTCATGTTCAATCGTCTATGATCAGCTCCCAGAGAAGTAAGTAACACTGTTTATCTCTGGTACTTAGTACAATACATATGTACGTATTTTAAAAAGTTTATTCAAAAAGTGTTAAATAAAAGTTGGCCCTATGTAAAAAAAAACTCCCTAAAGAAAATCTAATAATATTTCATAAATATTAATAATCTAGGTAATGTTCAAGAGAGCAAAAACGAGCAAAAACGCTTAATAAAAATTTCAAACTAAATATTTCCCGCCCCGACGACCTACTCAGGTAAATCTTTCCATTCTGTCTTCAACAATTCTTTAAAAATGATAGATAGAATAATACAGTTAGACCCCTTGAATTGCAACTGACAATTGTGGTCTCTCTTTGACCATTTTGAAGCTAATTCGGAGAAGTCTTGGATGGGAAAACGAGATTATTTAAAGAAGAGACCCAGATTTGTAGCACTCGATCAGGGAAAAAATATAATCTTCGTTTGTTCGTTTTAAATCGCACATTACTGGCCGGGGGCTAGGCTCGAGGCCTCTTCTCGGACTTTTTCCAGGATAAACAACTGGAGCGGCATACTCCAAGATCGTTTTTACCAGAGACTTGTACAACAAGGAAACTTCAGGTGCGCTTTTAGGCCCAAGCATGCTCTTGATCAGGCCAAAAACCCCTCGAGCCAAAGAAGCAAGGAAGCAAAAATAAATAAATAAATATAAAAATAATAACGCCTGATCTCAGATTAGTTAACTATATGCATGACGACCGCATGGATACTATGATCGCACCGCGAAAGGTCGTAGGAGATACCGAGATCTTTGATATTTGTCACACTCTCAAGAATTTCGCCATTTAATCTAAGCCCATACCTATCCTACGACCTATCTTGTTTGTGAGTGTTTCATATCTATCTGGGTTAAACATCAACTGCAAAGTTTTCGCACCATTCTTTAAAGCCGAAACAAGTCAGATTGGAGCACATAGGCATCATCAGGAATGTTGCCTGTCTCTCTATAGAGTTTAGTGTCGTCTGCATATCATTTCACAGTTAAGGAAAATCCAGTAGATATATTGTTGACGTACAGGCATTGTACCCTAAAGTACGCCTGATTTTACCTGAGTCCATGAACAAGTAACTGCCACGCAGAGCGGTGACACGTTGCGACCAAAAAAAAGCTCTGAAACCATTTGAGAAGAGGGCCGTCAATACCGTACCTTTCTAGCTTATAAATTAAAGCAGACGACAGTCAGTGGGACCGTCGTACGCTTTGGAGAAGTCTAAGAGAATAACGTCCGCTGGTTTCCTCAGTTGATACGAGATTTCGCCCATTCGTTAACGCGTGATAACAGCTGCGTAACTGTCGAACGGTCTTTCAGATGGAAAATCCATGAAACGAGAAATTGACGTGCAGGTAAAGCTTTGTCGAGCCGTACATTTGCTATAATTCAAACTTTAAGTACGCGATTTGATTCGGGTGAAATACGCTGGCTTCGCCCCCCAAAACATAATTCTACAGTTTAACTATTTGTTCCGCTAATTTGCATGCGATTGTTGTTAGTGAAATATGACGGTAATTGTTTCTGCAGTTTTTGCTGCCGTTTTAGACCGCAAAGCAGTCGGTCTTTTCTCAAAATAGGTTTAGCGTAGCTTCAGAGTCTCACACATGCAAAGGGGGCAAGCATCGCTCTCCGCGCGTTTTAAGCCTCGCTTCAGACTTTTTGTTTGACTGCTCGCCCGTACTTGAATAAACAAGAATAAGGACTCTTTTGCAGTCTACTGCTGTTTTTAAATAGAGGTGTTATACCAGCGCATTTGCCGTTACTTGTGGGTAATAGATCAAGCGCAAAGGATTTATTGATTAATGCGCACAAACATGGAAAGAGAAACGATCGATGCACATTCTTTAGTACTTGTATAGGTTGTCGATGGCACTCCGCTTAGATTGTCAATGGGCTTTGAATAGCTTGGCCTGGGTTGTTCAAAGCTCGGATAAATAACCCAGGGTTAGTGCAAAATTTTAATTCAGATAGGAAATCTTACGAAGCAAATTCTGTTTAAGCCTTTTGTGTACAATTTTATGTGTAGATGCTCAAAAAAGACGAGAAAATTATCCGAGAAAATGTTTTTGAACCGAAAGAAAAATAGCCTCGCCGCAGACGTCCGTTGGGGTTCGTTTGTCACGCAGAAATGAATGCGTGACAAACGAACCCCAACGGACGTCTGCGGCGAGGCTAAAAGAAAAATAAACCCGGATTAAAATTTAACCCCGAGTTAGCGTAAATCGGCCTTCGATGGCGAACAACTGGGCCCTGATTTTTAGACGGTCACTCCCTAATTCCCGGGGGAGAGGGGGAAGGAAGTGACGGAGTTAATCATCCGTTAAGGGTTGTAAAAATTTAGGCGTGGATAATACCCTGTGCTTTCGTCGATGTTTTAAGGCTAAAAAAATGATTTCATTTTCTACAGGTTAAAAGAGACTCGGCTGGTCACTCTTCTCCTTGACTCAAATCTAACTACCGTTCTCTGCCACATGGGAGATTTTGGATGTGGAGATGGAGGATGGACACCGGTCATGAAGATGGATGGCAGCCAGGTTAAGACAGTCTGTTTTTTTGGACTCTGATCGTTTTGTAAGTTAATTGATGGAATTAACCCTAGCATAGGACGTACACACAAATTCACAAACCACCATCATCGTGGTACAAGGGGGAGGGAGGGAGGGGGGAAGGTGCCATCTTGGCTACCATCTTGGATTTTATCAAGAATCAGAAATCAGGTTTAAACCGCAAGAAATGGTAATTTTGCGCTTGACATGTAAAATAACGCATAATTAATTAGAGTTTTGCATCATTTTATCCACAATCTTTACTTTTATTGTTGAAAGAGGTTGAACACCTGTTACTTATGACGTCATACCTCGTAACCATAGTAACTGACCGTCACCGAACTTGCCTCCAAATGCTTGGGAGGGATAAACAAACAGCTACTAAAAACGTCAGGTGCTGATATTTTATTCGTCTAAGAAAAAACTCCTTGTACGTCCGAGGGCCAAAAAAAATTTTGACGACAAAAAATGCCTTGTTTCTGAGCTTTTTGCATAGTTGATTGCTATCTGGTTTCATGGGATGAGTTGCTCAGCTCACTTTAGCTTTGTCTGGGCGAGAGCCAGTGGTTTTGTCCTTGAGTACTAGTGGCCACGGTTTAGTCCCTTTTAAAAAGTGGGGCCAGCCTCGAACACAATTTTTCTTGGCCTTGCCGTTGCGGACCTCAGTTTGGCCTAAAAATAAGGTGGGTGCTTGGGCCCTCTCAAGTCGTTACCTTAGATCCGCCACTGCGCATGACCCATTTTAATGCCAGTTTTTCTATCCTTACAGGGAACGTTTTACTACGACTCCAGTCTCTGGAGAAACAAAGAAACCTTCAACCTTGACGGAGGGAAAACTGGGTTCGACTCACAGGAAACCAAACTTCCATCCTACTGGAACACATCCTTCTCCAAGATCTGCCTCGGTATGAGGATTAACAACCAGTCCAGGTTTATTGTAATCAAAAGGACCGCGACTTCTCTGCATTCATTGATCGCTGATGGAAAATACCGCAACACCTCACTGGGTCGTGACACCTGGAAGTCGCTGATTGGTTCTGAGGCCTCCTTGCAACAAAATTGTAACTTGGAAGGGTTTAACGCTAGGCGTCCTAATGATTACTCCAAAGCAAGAATTGGTATCCTTGGTAACGAACAAGACGACTGCGATACCTGTGACTCCAGAATCGGTCTTGGTACTGGAGGATCCCCAGCTCATAACTCTAACACATGTGGAAACGAGGCAGTAAGTTCAGGCGACAACGGCCACAAGCATATACAGGCAATGGGTTATATCTTGGTGCAGTAAAACGGTATAAATTATTACTCAAACATTTTTGACAATCATGTAAGCAGTCACAGCATTCGGATTCTTACCAACTTGCAGTGCTGCATGTTGTTCTGTGAAAGCGAGCTTTTCAATCGTCTACTTAGTAATAGGAACATGTTTTATTCTAGTTTGTTGTCATGTCAAGGTGGCCGACGAGGGATCTGTTGAAATGCAAGGGCGTGCCAGGGATTTTGATCTTATGGCTGGGCACACGGCTAAACTGTAAATACCGGTCGAGTTACCTTGAATCAGTTATTTTTCCTAAGTTGAGGTTAATTATAATAATTAAAGATTTTTGTTGTTATTTCATCTTCAAAGATTTCTTGTACATAGTTGAGTCAGTTACATGACACCATAAATCTGACACCTCAAAAAATTTGTTGTGAAAAAAATTATTGTTAAGAGAATCAGTAGTACGCTATTACCGGTCCTGCAAAATTTCTGCGGGTTTATTTTCCCTGAACAACACTCAATATACAGAAATTAAAAATAAACTCCCACCAAATCTTATCATAAAATCCTCTTCCCAATATTCTTAACAATCATTATTTAACTTTTGATTTTGCAAAACTCAGGCTTGATTATCCCGGTTCCTTAGATTTTCGTCTCTTTTTAAATGGCTAGAAAAAAACCTCCTCTATTAAACGCGCGGTCACCTCTCCACAATGGCCACCTCTGTACTTTTTTCCCGACGGTACAAATAATCCATACAACGACCACCTCTTGATAACGACCACTACTTCTGTTCCCAAGATGGTAGTGCTGTACGCTTTATCAAGGTGACACAACTTGATTTTGGATTGGGTGACAATCTTACGACATTGTCGGCTCGCATCCCGGGAGGACTGGCCACCAGTTCCAGGGTTGTCACATGGCAGGGAGGAAAACTGCAAGGGGCGACACAAAACAGAAAAAAAAAAGAAAAACAGTCTAAAAAAATCGCATTTATACGTCTCTGATTGACCTTGCATTCGATCAGCAACGGACAATACCGCGTTTCTTCTCGATAAACGTGGTAAATAGCGTAAGGCAGACGAGTTTGAAAGACATCTAACTCTTCGATGCCAAGATGGAGCTCTGGAAGAGTTCGGCGTTATCTCTCATCATTTTCGGATTTTTCTGTGCTTTTGCAACAAATAAGCATTGCGAATGGGTGCTAGAAGTAGTTCAAAAGGAAAATCTCTCGCAAGTGGCACCTGTAATCATTCCAGGTGGACAATATTTCCTGAGGATTAGAGTGAAATGTGATGACAAGGTAAACTGCGTTAAACTATGATTGTTGATTTCACTTCGAAATTCTATTGCTTATTTTCATCAGTCTAATAAATGTTTTAAAAAGCCTTGTGCTGTTAATCCACGACTATAGGGGGCTTAAGCAACGACTAAAGCGACCGCAACGAGAACGGCAAAAAGGCAATAGGAAATTTTGATTAGATTTTTTAGCAAAACAACTCTGCACGTGCATCACGCTTTTTCGTACATTTCTTGCCGTCGTTGCACGACAGCAACGTGAAACTTCCTAACTTTTCGATCGTTTTACGGAGGACGTGAACACAATATAATAGTTTTCTCTTTCTTTTTCTGAAATTAGATACAGCCCAGTTACAAATCAATTCCGAAAAAATTCGCCAACATTTGACAAATTGCAAGAGGTAGAGTAATAGTGATGGAATTGGAAACAGCTGGAATTTACTGTTAGTTGTCGTTGCTGCTTGAGCTCTCTAATATAATGATAAATAATACTTCATTATCATGTCACAGATGTCACCGAGACGCGGGAATAACATACGGTGAATATTCCGGCATACGTGTTTATAACTCGTTTTAGCACTTGGTTTCATGATTAGCTTAATTCTCTCAACAGATCCATTCTCAAGTGTTGAGATCATTAGTATTAACAGGGGTTAACCCAGTTTTGAACATTGAATCAGAGGCCTTTGGGATAAATCATCACGGTACCAGAAGATTTTCAGTCCTTATTTCAGCTGTACTTACAGAGCTCGGAGATCAGCTGAGCTGTGGATGTCTTTCACGAAAGAAAACAAATAGAATTGGCAGGTAAAATTATGTAACTTTGAAAGTTACTGCCCTAACAAAATACAGCTGACGGGCATTTGACATATCATTTTTATTTTTACTGCTTATTTTGGCATGACGTGGATTGATTTATCCTATATATTATATTTATATCCCTATATCCTTTATATGATCATGACAAAATAAATAAATAAAAAATTAAATAAATAAATATCCTCTCCCCTTATGGGCTTTTTAGGGATAAGTGAAATAATAATTCAAACTGAACATCGTATGGTTAAGAATTAGGGAAGAGGCTGGGTTCAGGACTACTGACAACAAATCATATTTCAGAAACCTTTGAATGCAGAGGACCTGTCAATGCATAGATAAACCCAACTGGTTCCTTTTTCCCAATTCTAATATAGAGATGCTAGAGCCAGACTTCACTTTATGCTGGAATTAAAACGAAAGTGAGTGCAAGGCTGGTAATATGGCAAAGGGTCGATTTATTTCAGAACCTAGTATTTCAGCTTACCAACTTAGCCTTTCTCTGGGCCTGTCAGAAAGGCTATTTTTTTAGCCAAGTTATTGGCACCAAATGAAATCAGCCCCTTGCCATATAGTCTTCAGTTTCAAGTTTGTTATGATCGACCACTAAATAAAAGAAGTGAGGACACATTTTTTACAGGCTTGTAGCCTCCATCTGAGGTAAATATATTCACAACCCTGTATGAATGAGTTGTGGTAATGTTTGTATTAAGCACAAACTTTTAATTCAATACTGGATTATTGCCAGTTTTACCATAATTGTTTTCTTTTTATGAAATGGCAGTATTGTGCATATCCTGTTGGGAGTTTTTGCTGTCAAATAAAAGTTAAGGAATGCTCTTCCAGAATTTAACTTGGATATGTGGTTAAATTTTTGTTTCAGTTCAAGTGAGTGCTTTTGTAGTGGAATAAAGCCCCTGTGTAAAGAGCCTGATGATATCCAAATGGAACAAGCAGGAGTAGAATGCTGTCAAACTGCAAAGAACTGTTCAAACGTCTTAGAGCTGTGCAACCCAGCCTGGTTTGTCCCTCTCCACATTGCAGACTCAACAAATGCATTGCACTGTGAAGTTGTTGACAGTGGTATTGGCCCTTATATAAACTCCCAGAGGTATTAAAAAATGTTTGATAACCACAGTGTACATTATCAGGGTCAGGGTCAGTGTCAGACACAGAGCTAAAAGTTGCTTTTTACTGACATAATTTGTTGATTTGCATCACTAAGTGTGACAATTAAGAGAAATTCAAGAGTGCACTGATCTTAGATCCTGTAATCAGCCTTTAAAAAATTTGATACTGTAGATGTGGTACATGTATTAATTGCTCTTAAACAGAAAGAATTTAAGATGGAATCCACCAGGAAATTGAGCAATTTTAATTTTCAGTGGACAAAAACCTTGTACCGGAATAATTTAAAGCATATAATCAAATTTACATTTTTCAAGGGCTTAAGATGTAATTAATCGTCTGTAATAACACCAAAGAAAATTTTTTATGGGAGCCCGAGAAAAGGAATGTCAAATTTCACAAAATTACATCTTTCACATGAAATTTCCACAATTTGCCTGTGTTTTCACAATTATTCTTAGGAAATTTGACATTCATTTTCCCGGGCTCCCATGAGAAATTGTCTTTGGTGTTATTACACATAACTAATTACATCCAATAGCACTTAAAAAAAATTAAAACAGAATGCAATATTCTTTAAATTATTCTGGTACAAGGTTTTTGTCCATTGAAAATTAAAATTAATCAATTTCCTGATGGATTCCATCCTAAAAATGTTATGATGGAATTTAAGTTCAGATTATCTGCTTAAAGGCCGTGGAAGCAAAGTTGAAACTTGCTTTTAATAATTGCTTACACATGCCTTTGTTAGCAGAATTATTAAATTCCTTTGATAGTCTTTATATGACAGACCCATTTCTTTATTTTTTTGTTGTTGTATTTATTTATATTTATTTATTTTTTTTTTTGCTTGTCATGCAAACCCCTTTTATCCTGAGCAACAATTGATCACCTTTTTGAAAATTAGAGCCTCGATCCATGTGTAAACTATTTGCAGCAACTTTATTTAAATTTAATGATTCATTTCTTTTTGGTTTCAGATTGACATTGCATTTGGACGCCTTTCATTTTCCAATCAATAACACGATTCAGAATAGACTAGGTGATGAAGAAACACAACTGCCCTCACTTTCCAAGGAGATCGCAGTGAGCTGTCTTCCAAACCTTTCTCCTATTTGCCTCATTGGATCCGATGAGATGACAAACCATGTTATTTACACCAGTTCAGAATTTGAGAAGATGCAGTTCTTAAGGATTCAGGTTAGGTCCATTACATACTTACTTACAGATATTCTAAACTCTGAGTAATTTGAAACCTTACAACTAATTTTGGTTTGCACTTTTGTGTGTCAAAAAATGTTTGACGTTGAATTTTGAATTTGGAAAAATTTCATTTTCATATTTCTCTCTAGCTAGAAAAGTCTTTTGGAAGAAAGTGTATTCTCAGACAAACTATGCCAACTGTGCAGGTTAAAGGGGCGATAACTCTACCAGACAGAATTCTGCTGAATACTGATGTAAGTGTTGTTTCAGTTCTTTTCAATGTTCAGTTTCCCTCATGATCTGACCATGCCACTAATAAATTTTCTAAGCATTACTGTTATGCACTGATGATTGAAATAAATCAAGTGTGTTATGATGGAAATTCTAAAACTCTGTTTTTTTGGACTGAACAGGTCATCAAATTTTTTCGTAAGATCGTCAGGGTTGAGCTCTGAGTGGTACGGGCAACTATATATCTTGGTTTCATAATGTACCGAAGTGGAGGGTGTTGGGGTTTATCCTTAGGCTAGACTCTGAACATTTGAAACCAAGATGGCCGCCTGTTCCGCAAAGCACTTGATCTGGACAATCTTACGCAAAAATAGGGGACTGTGAACAGTTTTGACTATTCTCCTGGATTTGATATGATTAATAAATCTGTTTGTTTGTTTGTTTTTCTTTAAAAGGCAGGTATATTTGAGATGCAAGGCAATGGATTTAAATGTGAGTACCTGTTCTTTGAAGGATTATCCTTTAACTAATTACGATACATGGTCAAACTTTGAAACGACTGAAATCGGCCTTTACTTTGTGTACCGGACACATGTAAAACAAAAGGACAAAAACCATGAAACAATACCAAGCAGATTTTTCTCTGAACGGAAAACAAAGAAGTCTTTTGTTTTAAGTCATCCGTGTCCTGTACACGAACAACGTTTTGACTTTGAAATCCCAATTAGATGTCTCCTGCAAGAACAGTCAGACGACTTTGTCAGTTATAGTAATTGAAAGTAAGAAAGTAAAGACAGTGGTTATTAATAAATAATTTTTGGCCATCAAGAGAGTCTCATACAATCTGGCATATGACTACAACTTTGAAAAATGCAGTAGAATATATTTTTTTTATCATAACCCCGGTAGAAAGCTTTTTTGTTGTTCTTTTTCATCCCTTGTTTTCCTGTAAACTTCTGCAATTTCTTGCTCTACTGTTTACTGTCTGAAAAATCTAACCCAATCAGTTTGCTATGAAGATTAAATTCCGACTGTTACTTTTTTTTCGTTTTTGCACCAGAGATATATGGCATCGTAGCAAAAAGGAGGGGGCGACTCTATTTAGTTTTCTGAGTGAGCATCCATATTTTCACTAGCTCCGCGTGTTAACTATTTGGATGAACTATCTTGTTTTTACTCAATTTAATCATTTATTTTTACCAGCAAAAGATTATGACCATGTGTTGTCTGCTTGTGTGAGGCACTTGGTCGGCCCCGCCCAGTCAACACCCCACACTGTAACCGTTTTGGCGTTTGGAGACGAGCAAGACCAAGAGAAGATTTTTGTTGCTGTGCCCGAACGAGGTAATAAGGCTGTTTGACAATTGTCTTTCTTACAGTATGCGAGACGAGACAGAGGAAGGGCATTTGAATAAAATAACAGAATTTCTACCTTTCCTTAGACAGAGAGTAGACCTCTGTGTATCTCTGGAAGGGAGTTGGAGCGAAATACGCGAGTGTGCGTGAAATGATTTTTACCCACTCTGGCTTGTAGTATCCTTGAATCAAATAGTACAACAAACTCTGGGTTAAGGATTATAGTCCAATCGTAGTGTAAGTCCGCCCCATCATCATGGCTAGCCAGGTTTTTTTAAAACGAACCTACCCGACAATTTAAAGGCCATTTGACTAAAAGAAGTATTCAGTTTTGTAGTATATTGCTATGCTTTTGAGTTCGGCTTCTTCGTGCAAAATCAATTCCTATCCTGCTCTCAGCTGCGACGCTGATATTGGCAAACATCGTCAACGTTATCTACAACCTCGACAAAACTAGCTCTTGAGACACATAATAATTAAATGAATCTCCTTACTATTGTCACTACATATTGAAAAATAAATAAAAGCGATAGTAATCATTGAAAAAAGGTAAAATTATTTTCATTTTTGAATTCGCGGACCTGGGGTCATAGTTTTACATGTTGGGTCTTATAGAAATTATTGGGGCAAGTGAACTCCAATTAGAAAGTCAAGCCGGTTGTTTTTTGTTTTTGAAAGGCAAGCCGTGCAGCTTTGAGGAACAGAGAGATTCAAATGGCCATAATGCCTGCCAGTTCCTAAGGTCTTTGCTCGAAAATACAGGTATGGCCGGTGTCACAATGGTTGTTAGGCTCCTTGGCTAAGATTGTTGACTTCCGAGCGCCCGTCCTTTTTCTCATCAGGGAGCTTATTAGTAAAGAGCAATGACGACGGCTTCGGCTGCTTAAACGTCAACTTTAAGATCCAAAGACGCGGACGGTAACGAGAACGTCAAAAAAACAATAGGTTTTATTAGCAAAACAACAACTTTGCACGTGCACCATGCTTTTTTGTACATTTCTCCGCCCGTTTTTGCACGACTACGACGTGAACACGCCTAATTTCGCGTTTTATGGAGGACGTAAACAAGCAACGACGAAATTTTATTTCTCTTACTGTACTTGCATATGGTGCCTAGGAATTCGACTTCACGAGGGTTCACCTACATTTGACAAAGTAAGTGGGTACCAATAATTGCGATAAAGACTGAAAGAACGCAAATTCACTTTTTTAGCGACGTTCTCATTGCCGTCGCATCGTTGGATCTCAAAGTCCCTACTTAAAAAGTGAACTCGCGCTGCTTCAGACTTTACCGCGCCTTTTCCATCTCTTTCAATTCGTCGAATGTTGGCATTTTTTTCTGGACTTGAATTCTTAAAGACTGTATCGAAGTTCAGGAAAAGAAAAAGAAAGTCGTTGTATTGTGTTCACGTCCTCGACAAAACGTGAAATTCGGTCCCTCCACAACCCTTAAAGACTTTCTGACAGTTACTAAGCATTCTTTACCAGCATTCCTAGTCGTCATTTATTTATTCCTTCATTCTACTCGTAGTGAACTTTGGAAAGGTATTAATGGCAGCAAAGGCGCTTGGGAAAGAGGAGGAACTACAGTTTGGCTGCTTTATTCCTCCCTCCTTCCCATCAATCACTGCGCAAATACGAGAAGTAACTGGCTACGAGTCAGAGTTCTCCTGTAATAACCTATAATGGAACTATCTTGTGTTATTTATTTATTTGTTCCCTTGAAGGTAGCTATCCATGTCAGGTAATATCAGGCAGTGTAAGTGGAGTTGATGCAGGAACGTTTGTTGTCCTTGTAAAATTGGAAACTCCTTTTACAAGCACGTTTCACTTGATTCAGTTTCAAGGTATTATGATTTATACTTCATCAGTAAAATCTTAATCAAAGGAGTTTGTTTAATCCTCTAACGAGTTTCTGCCAATTAAATCAGTTACTTTGTATTAGCAAAAGTAGATCCTTCTATCTATTTAATCCCATCATAATTTTAGACTCAGCCTAAATCAAAAACTCCAGAAACATGCCCCCATTCCACAAAAATTTCATACCCACGTGATTTGTGGAAAACAATCAGTGTTTGCCTACACTTGAATTGCGGAAAACACTCAGTGTTGCGTCAGTATACCACATGTGAACTGCGGAAAACTATTTCATGTATCTTGTCCTTGAATCTCGTTACAAAGCATTTTATCAAGTCCCTTCTTTTTTTTTAAATTTGTTTTCACTTTTTCTTTGCGTGTGTTTAATTTTGTTCAATTTCCAGTTTTATCAAAATGTTCCGCCCTTTTCCTCCAGGGCACCTACCTGGAAGCGGTCAGTGGATTGCATTGTTTCATTTTCCGAGCGCGCTTGATCATGAAGGCACAGGTAATTATAATAAACTGTTGCCATATAAATTTATAATTATACTCATATCAAGTGAAAAAAAAAACAACAGCAAAACAAAGAGACTAGAACAAGTATTTCCGTCAGTATTTAGTTGTCTTAAGTTTGACATCCGTGGACATGCACTCTCTTTGTGTCGGAAAATGACATTACAACTCTATACTAAATGCTGGTGGAAGGCGTATACTGAAGTCCCTATAACGATACCCCGGGTGCCGGGGACTTTTCTAGCGCGGTTTCAGGTGTGTCGGCCTTGGGCTAACACCGAAAATTCCAGCCGCATGGGAGAACAACCTCTGGTACCCAGGGTACAGTAACGAAGTCCTATCCCCCAAAACTTTGCGTATTGCAGTATTACACTTTACTACCCAATAGTCCAATTTCTTGGGACTAAATTTCACGACAACATCATCATGCCTTGTAAAATGGAAAATACCGTATCTAAAAATCTACATTTTTTTGTAAAATCCAAAGAAATTGATAGCACCAATAGAGCAAAAGTTCTGCTGAAGAGTTTCGACTTGTATGAATGATAGCAGCACAGGAGTTTGGTCAACGATTTAAATGTTAGAGAAACAAACCCGCTACAAGTTAGTGAGGAGTGTAGCTAAAGCTTACGATAGTCTTTTCCAGGCGTTCAGATAGTAGAGCGTGGGCGAAAAATTCCCTTCGTGTTTTCCGCACCATCTGCTAAGCCTGCAAGAAATTTCTTTATTTCTGGAGAACAAAGCTAGCCGCGAGAGAAAACGCACGAGCGAGCCGTGAGGGGCGGAGGAGGAAAATCTATCTTGGCTCCTTGCTTTCGCGTCTTCTTTGGCCGTACCGTTCGCGCTTGACTTCCCTAAATTATTAAATGGAGAGTTTGCTCGCAGGCTCAAAAAGGGGTGAGGAAATTTTATAAGTTCAGTACTGACCAGAATTTTATTTCGTTTTTGTTACAAGAAAATGTCGAATGGCAGAAAATCGAATCAGAGTTCAGTGTTGAAGCGAAGTCTGGAACATGGTCGCTGTTACTGCATGGTTTAACATTTATGACAGTGGCTTGCCACAGTTTGTTTGTGTGGGGAAATGCTTTGCTTTACAGGTACAGTTAATAATCACTGCCCTCGGGCTTTATGGGGATAATTTACAGCGCTTGTTGGGGGACTTTTACCAGACTGCTTATGGTGCAGTTTATAAGTAACGAAGGAATGAGTGGTTACCTTTCAAATGTCGAAGGAATGAGTAGTTAGTCTTTCAAATGTCGTCTTACTCACGAGTATCCACGTCATGTGTGTACATAATTAATGAAAAGACAAAAGACAAATTCCGTGGAGAACATCACGTGGTATGAATCGGGAAAACAAAACATACAAGCTAAAAAGGTCTACTAACGGGGTGTCCGTATTAAAGAAGACAATCCATAAACAACAATTAAAGGAAACTATTGGTCATGTGGTACAAATTTATGTTTGCGGTTTTCCTTTAAAGCGATTCTAAATCTCAGCCTCAGATATTAGCCTGCTTAACACGGGCATCTCTCCTGACAGCGGCTCCTTACTCTAGTGAAAAGTTACTGATATATCCTACAATCTAAGTTTAAACGGTTTTTGTTTTCACATAATTTTAACGTTTACTTTTTTCTTATTTAAAATTTTCACCTGTTATTACTTAGTATCATATTGCACGCTATTCTTTATTTTAAATTGTAACGTCTTAGCTTAACCTCATCATGCCTTCCGAAATATTGGTAAAAAATATATATATTCCAGACTATAAAATCAGCCTTGCTTCTTTTGTTTAATCTAATTTTACTTTGCTTTACTCAAAGCCAAGCGCGTCGTTGGTTCTCTTTAAGTGGACAGTTTCTGATTACTTTTAATGATTTCAGGCTGATCTGAGCGCAAAATTTGTTTGTCACGAATGGTCACAATGGTATCGGCCATACACTGCTAACAAATATGCTCGTCGCTGAGTTGTCTTAAGTTGTTGTTGAGTTGTCTTGAGTTGTTGTAATTTATATTCCTGCGGGATGTTTGTTTTTCTTAATCAGCCCATACGGCGGACACTCCATTCACTGGCTCACTAACTTTCCTGGAAACTCGAGTATAATGGTGTTTACTTCATCTCCGTTCGATGGAAAGTTTGCTTTTCTCACAGATGATCAACAGGTATTTTTATGCTTACAGCGATTAAGAAGGCTGTTAGAATCACGACGGAGTTCGGCAGAGTCAGTGTGGTGTGTATCAGAAACGGATAGCGATGGATAAAGGAAAAACCAATTTCAGTGTTTGGGAAAAAGCTGCTGTGTTTGGTTAATTCTTCCCCTTCTGTGCACGATTAGGCCGAGTCTAGTTGGATGTCAAAATAACGTAACGATGGAATCAAAAGTGGTGTGGGAAGAAATTGGAGTCGTCCTGAACCTTGCAAATGTGATTTGCTAGAGCTCCGTTTACGACCCTCCGATTTTTGATATAATTTTGGATCCACATGTATACTTAACCTTTAAATGAAAATTTTCCTCACTTACTTTCTAAAATACCACGCAGCTTTATTTATTTTTTCCAGTATTATAAGGAGACTCAAGAATACGTTAAGCGGACGCAAGCGTTGGTAATTTCATTTTTTTGCCTTTCAGTTTGTTTTGAAAAAAGAACTGTATGAAGTGGCGACAGGCAATTGCTCTCTCTAATAATAATGAATACTGTGCCGCTGCACCCTGGGTATCAGGGGTACAATTTACAAAAATAGAGAGATTGCATGCAAGAGTCAAGTTTACAACAAACGGCAAACATCAGATTCAAGCTGAGAATTTCTCAGAATAGAGCACAAGAAGACAAAAACTGTCCAGAACAATTCTTATGGATAAAGCTAAGGCGTGAAACTAGAGTAAACGACAATTAAGGGAAAACTTGGTCACGTGGTACAAATTCACGTTTGCCGTTTGGCGTAAACGTGACTCTGAATCTCTCAAATAACAATTTGTTGTCGTGACAGGTCTGGATTGGCCAATCAGGTTCGTCAAAATTACAACGTCTGAAAAGCAGTATGGGACCCAAGGGGCTTTCCCCAGAACTCTTCAACCATAACGAAGCATTTATTTTGTCGATATTCTTTGATTCAAGTGGACTATTGCAGCAGGTTGGTACAAATCCTCTGGAACGAGAATTTTTTGTATTGCAAGGGTGAAGGGGGATGAGGACATTGTTCTGTGGTCGTCAAACATAGGATTTCAAGTTGAAGAAAGCAATGTTAATCTCAACCAATTATTTTTTAAGGAATTTCCTTGATATTCAGATTCAGATGAATAATTGTTTAAACTAAATTAACTTTTTTGTTCTTTGATCTAATTTCACTCCCAGGTAATAGTAGAGGAAGATTCCACGGGTGAAACAAAATGCATCTCTCGCGAAGAAATACCAGTGGCCAGTATCATTTCACGACAACTATATACACAGAAGCAACAAGAAAACCTAAAAAGCAATAAAAAAGCCAGGGCAAATTCAGCGTCTTGTATCCAGGACCAATCAGTGGAACACAAACAGTATATTGGAGAAAGCGCATGTCCGTTCACAAGGATTGCTTTTGAAGCAAATCATGATGTTCTGTACACAAGAAAATGCTTTTATAAATTTGAGCCGTCTGTTCGGTGGGACGGTGGACTTATTCAGGGTCGTGATGCCCTTCACGATTACTACACTAGAGTGTCCCGAACTATGAACTCGGAATGCGCTGGTATTAGTACAGACACCCGGCAGTCCATGAGGGATCATCTGCCGTTGTTGATTTATCTTGGACGCTCCGAGCGGTACTCGTTTGTTTTTTACCTCTATCTCGACTCTGACATTCAAGAAGGTGGGTCTTCTAAGGCAGCGCAGTCTTACCATCATCCACTATGACTTGGTTTTCTGTACTTTTTCTGGTCTGTCGCTATTATTGTCTAAAGAACTGCTGTATTTTTTGTTTGCAACGTCAGTCTCAGAGTGTGGCTCTGGCCTCGAGGGAGGATAATTTTGTTAGCGGAAATATTGGCCCCAGTTATAAATCAGCCTTTTGCCCCATTCCAAGCCTTGCTTTCACTTTTGTTTTAAAAATCAATCTGATCTTTGATCTCATGGATGAAAAGAATCAGTTTAGAAGTTATAGTTTAGGTGGAATGTGGCTTTTGAAAATTGAAAATTGTGTATCACTTTGAAAAAGAATCATTAATTTTGTTATGTTTAAGATTTTTTGGATGTGTTCGCAGAGTAACACATTTCCTAGCACAGCAGCTACAAAAGTTTTATTTTAAGGTGTATAAGGTGTAGCCAGCACAGTTGCCATTGAGATTTTAGAGTGATAACGAGTGACTGTTAGCAGGAAGCCAGTTTTTTCTTGTTTTGTTTCAATTAAAATTTCGTTTCTACTCAGATACAAGTGAGTATGCTTGGAGTCTTGTACACCTGCAGGCGTCACTTCACGTTTCGGACACCATGTTTTGTAATTTGACGTCTCAAAGAACAGAACTTATTCCCCAAAAAGCTGTGAAGTATGAGGTAAGGTCATCCGCCGTTTGTAAATTTTACCTTATGAAATCGTCAACTTAATTCAGTTAAGAGCTGCAGCATGAGTCATGGCTCGAATTCCCTATAGAGAGAGAAAGAGTAAAGAATCTCTGAATTCGACACCACTTTTATCACCTCCTTTGACAATATAAAGCACTTAATGCAGTTTGAAGGTGCTAATGGTTTAAAACTTCTGAAAATGAAGCTATGTTGAATTTTCATAACAGGTTACTTTGCAAGACAACGGTCTTAGACTCCCACAGCAACATTCAGGCGAAGGACTTACGCCTACTTCCTTACACATTCAGGTAATGAACTAAGCCTTTTTTATTCTCTTCACCCACCTATCATCATGTATGGTCGGCTTGGTTATTCGTATTATTCTGCTGGATTATCCGGGTTCTTACGCTTCTGCTTGTGCATTGTGCACTCTTTATCAGTATCGCCGGATGCCACTTCGGTACGCGCACGGGGCAACTGAAAGGATGCAAACCCGAGCATCACACCAGTCAGCCCCACGGGCTCCGCGTTCGTGAAAGCATTGAGGGACGAGTAGGATGTTGGCCCACAAGTCTAGTGGCAAATAGCCTCGTAAGCAATCGTTTTGGGGGGAGTCGTAATCGTATTTTGTAGGGAGGGAGGAAACTCGACTCCCATAAAAACGCCTGCTTTAAAATATCTGTACTTGATAACGACTTGGTATAAATATTTCCACCTCAGCTGGGATAGGATTTCTACATTGGCCAGTAAAGCTTGTCTCAAACGACATCCATTCTCCTTCTCTTAGGTTTGGAATTCCGCGTTAACTTGTAGCTCCAGTTATGGCAGGAAAGGATTTCTTGAGGTATAAGCTATCTGATCCTACACTGCGTAGTTTCACTAAGTTGCTGATTGCTTCGGCGGTTCTATCACTTAGGGTTATTTGATTTGCCGTATTTTTCAAGATGATTTTTCGTGTATATTGTATTTTCATGCTCAGCTCCCAATTCTATACCATCTCACTTTCATTATTAATGGTAAAATGGGCTACTGCTGCTTACTAAAATATTTTCGTTGTCTTCCAGGGTTCTTACCTAGTGACAGTGTTGCTCGGATGTCCCGCGGGTCTCAAACTCGCATTTGATCCCGACGCCTCCAAGAACGCCACGGGCAAGGAACATTTCTGTACTCCTGTTGATGGCGTGCCGTGTTTTTACTTCTACCGAGGTAAGCTGTCAGTATTTGAAGTACCTAACTGGTTATAGAGAAACCTTGGAATGGCACCATCTTGGGCTTACGATAGATGGATGACGAACAAACTCTTAAATTCTGATGCCGCTCTGCAATGCTCTGAACTCTTTTTTCGTCCTTTGGACCATTGTAGCTCTGCTGACCAGGTATAAGGCCAAAGATTTCAGTTCTTTCTCGTTCATCCTCGTTCATGCGCGGTAGCATTAGCCTGCACCACAGACGAAACTAAACCTCTGGTTATGCCCGTCAGCAAAATAATGCTGGAATCCTTGTTCTGGTCTCCCACCGTCCTATGTACCAGTAGTTGAGTACGCGCCGATTGGCCTGTCAAAAAAACCATTGTCGATTTGCCAGACCTTACCAGTCTTCAACGCAGGATATTAAGTAGCACTTGCACCGTCTAAAATGACTCTCGAGTTTCCTATTCCTTTAATTAATTCGACTTTCTTTTTATGTTACCTGGTCAGATTTGGTTCTTCAAGTTTTATTTTGAGTATTTTCGCTTTCCTTTCCTTGGCAGATTTTCTTCCTGTTTTCAAATTGATAGACCTCGCTACTGGGCAGATAAGTCAATTTCATGGAAATTACAGACTGACAATAGTTGGAGGAGGACCGACTTACCAGTCGATAACTGATTATACGGAGGAAGAGCAAATCAAGTATAACTACCAGACTACGAGGTAAAACGGCCTTATTTCTCAATTTTGTTGCCGAATTTTGAGAAACTATCTATTTTATACTGAGCCGTGTTTTCATGTAAAATGTGATCTAATGTGATCCACTTAAAAGAGGGAGAGCTTTGTTGAAAAAAACAGTTATGAGCTCATTCCCCGGAAGCAACAATAAGAAACAAATTTGTTGTAATTAATTTGGCCACGATTGTGGCTAGTTTTAATTGAATAATTTGTCAACTTAAAACACAGCAATAAACATTTTCGTGCTTGAGGTCTTGTTTTTAAATGGGGCTACAAAATTCCGTCAGTCTTAAAAAGTGATACTAACCAAGCAGCGGAATCAATAAACGTGGTCATAAAACCACTGGAAGATGGTGAAAATGGGAAGGGGGCACGAAAAAACTTTCTGGGGATCTGTTCAATCTGATGCCAAGGAGAAGAGGGAGGAATATCTTGCTAGAACTCTGTAAGACTTAATATGTAGTGGTAACTAATTTTGTGCTCATTTGTTTCGTTTTAGCTCAATGGCATTCTTGATCTGGGCCTCGAAACTGAAGACATTAGGTGACATACCTGTGTTTAACAGCAAAACAAATGGCATTAGGTTAGGACCATGCTTATGGTGCTTTTAGGAAGAATTTTCTTGATGCTCCGAAATGTGTAGTACTTTTTTTAAGTTCGTTTCTGAATCCGGTCTGCCAAAAAAAAAAAAAAAATTTGGGCCCTTCGAGCCTCAGTTTGGTCTAAAAATAATTGGGGGGCTGGCCCCCCGGGCCCCTCCCCTGGATCCACCACTGCATGATAGAGGGTAAATAAGGGACGGACCATTAGAAAACTTATCGGGGGGGCGGGCGAAGTACAAAAAAAATATTCGCGCAAGGGAAAATTAAATGAAAAAAATTCGTGCACGCCAATTAATCCTAAAAAATATTCATGCTAGGGCCGAAGAAAAATTCATTCAAGGAATTTGATAACAAAAAAAAATTCCTGCAGCTCGAAAATTCCCCTCCTCCCCCAAAAAAACTTTTCTAATGGTCCGTTCCTAAATGGATGGAGAAATTTGACGCTACACTAACTGTTTTTAATTTCAGTTGGTTGTGCGGCACGCAAAGCCCTTGTGCTGATGTTGGACCTAATTTTCCTGGGAATGCTGAGTACTACTTCAAACTGGAATTTTCAAACAGGTATCGCGTAGCAGAAGTGGAAACGACGTGAATGGAACACATAACGAATATTGAATCGTTTCCTTTGGAACTGAAATTTCTAGTGGAAAAGGGGGCAGGGGGTTGATTTGGAGGGAGCGGGAATTGGTTTTAGTTTTCAGTCTACTTGGTGGGGATTCATTTTAGAGGATTGATGAAAGGAGAGCAGTAGGTGATATTTCATGGCTTATGCTACTACATGAGAAATCACTTCCGCAATTTGATTGGCTTAGGGCAGTGGTATTTCACCTTAATTTGAAATACCTGCATGTGAAAATTACAAACCTTCTGCGGGTAGTGGTATAAACAAATAATAGCATGAGTTTGTACGTGATATTTGGCATAAATACCACTCGTGATATTTCAATATTGCCGCAAATTTCGTATAACAATTTGAAATATCACTCGTGGTGTTTATGCCAAATATCAGTACAAATCATGCCATTGCCTATACTAATTAATTGTTAGTAACACCTGTGATTCTAAAGGATCCGAACTTATGACTTGTCACAGTTCAACTTGTCCTCTGAGAAGGTCATTAATAAGAGAAGCAATTATTTCAGGGAACTGTTAGAGCTTTCCTGAAAATTTAAAGAAATCAGCTTCAAGAAAACAAGCTGTCTGCACCCACATAAAACCCTTAGATACTGATTAAGGGTTTTGGCCAAGGTCTTAACTTTCCAACACTTTTTAGACATTCTTTTAATAACCCGTTTTGATTAAGTCAGATAACGACATGAAACAAACTTCTTTTCATACAAAAAATTGCTGTTTTCCTTTTAGGCTAGTAGATGCTGATTCCTCTAACTGTGATTTTACAGTCCGTTTTGTGATCCGCGTTCATGGGTTGCCCCCAGGTTCGTTTAACCCATCGTCAGTTATTGTTCTGGTAAGTACAGGCCCTAAATTAAAAAGCAGAAAGACAGTTATCTTGAGTTTCCTTTATCTCGGCTCCGTGAATTGTTTGTTATAGACAGCTTTAGATTCTAAGACGAGGAAGACAACAAGAAGGAGATTTTCTCAATATTAAGTAACCAGCGTCATTTTGGCGGGAAAACCATTCCCGGGTCTGGGGACGACTGGCTGAGAAACGCGATAGCCGTTTTCAATCTACTATGAGTCTTAGTGAGATAGTGACGGAAACAAGTTATCAAATGCTAGAAGTTAAATATCATCTTGCGATTACTTTGAGGTCTCTAGAAGCGTGTGAGTGTTCTATTGTCTCCACATTTCTCCATATCCATGGTTTGTTTCATTCTTTCTCTAAAAAAGTTACTTCCTCGAATTTTGTTACACGGCAGTCGTGACAGGGTAATCTCAGTCAGTACATCATTTAACTGTGGGAAGGACGATCGTGGTCTGGGAAATAAAGGCACTGCCATTTGCTCTGCAAAAGACTAGACCCTAACAACGTAGCAAAGTGTCTCGAAGTAATTGTTATGAAACCAATTTCGCAAAGGCGGGAAAACAGCTAGAAAGGAACCATTGCGATTTGCTTAGTTTTATCTTCTGATTGGTCGAAAACCCGGGTCGTATTTTTTCAGCCAATCACAAAGCGTAAAATACCTCAAAACAACCAATCACGCAGGTAGCTACGGAAAGAAGCCGATGACTAAGGAAAATAGCATTGTGTTCACATTTTAAAGTAGCAAACGAGCGGTACAGTAGTATATCAAGTGATCAGACTGTCCAACCATCCCGATCACGTCGAGATTCTCCCTATTTTGCTTAAAAATCCCGGCCAATCATGCGATCGGGATAGGAAAAATCGCGATTTTGAAATCTCTGATATTTCATATGAATTCTTATGGTACTTTTACGAGGAGAGAGTATACTTAACTGAAAATGATATCCAAAAAAACGAAATATAATATATGACCCAGCTGCACTTGTTCTCGAAAACAAACATAAATAAGCATGAAAATGACAATTGATTTAGCAAACATTTTAGACAGAAATTGCCCTCTCAGTACTCTAGAAATGGCGATTGAAAGCATCAAGATTTCAAAACTTTCTGGGGACCCAACTCCCCCCTCCCCCTAGCGACTCGCGCCTTCAGCGGTAAGTGAAAAATATCCCGATTTCACTTACTGACTAAAGGTTGGACAGTCTGAGTGCTAGTGATCCTTTTATGTCTTATTCTTCTTGCAGTCTTGTATTGGTATCCTAGCCAGTCTAATCTTGATGTTCTTTGCACTGACAAGACAAGATGCCCGTCTATGGGATCAGTTAAAGAATTTGTTTACGAAGAGAATATTCGGAACGTGCAGGGAGAAGATATACAACATACGAAATAAAAGCAAGATCAATCCCCTTGGTGACCAGCTTCGGCTACAAACTGTTGGTCGAGGTAATGCTTAAATCTTCCCTCATCGGTAAAAAGTCCTCATCTAAGCTCCAAGTGAGTTGGTATCTGGCACTGATCACCATAAGTATGGTAGACTTCTAATGAATGCTTTTTAGTTGTTTCCCAGTACGTATGTATATTTTCTCAAGTTTACTGTTAAGTTTAAAACACCTTTTTAATAATAAAAAAAATAAGCTAGTAACTAAAACGTGTCTAGGATCTTTTAAGGTTATCAGTAACTATGTTTAGTTGTGTTTGTTTTGTTTTTCTTTTATAGATCCCGGAGGGGCTGATGTCTCCGTGGAAATCAAAGGAAGTACAACGGCTGCACAAGTTTCAGAGACAATTCTTTGAGGCGAAAAGGATTGCTTCACTTCGTCTATACTTTGCACACAAAGATTATTACTTCTAGTCTTAACGTTACTTCACAAAGCTTCACCTTCTTTCAAATGTCATGGTTCAGCCACTGTGATCGCACGAGTCACTGTGTTGACAGTTTTAGCGTTCTGTTCTGTCCAATCTGAAAACGGACAGAGCCATGCATGCATGAGGCTTCTAGCCCACATTACAGGGCCGGAGTTATGCAGACTCTTACCGTTGAAGAATTCATCGCTTCGTGCAAACTTAGGATTGTTTTCAGATAACCGAGCAAGCTTCATTGTAGTTTCAGACATTTTCGCTTCGTTTTACTAGGTCTAGGGATTATATTTGCATCCGGCCTAAGTACTTGTTCATGGACACGTTTTTAGTTGTTTTACAATTATATCGAAATTATAGTGGTTATTTATTGAAAATTAACGTTTATACCCTGGCCGTTTTGCGGCTAAGGTCGCTAAAAAAGAATTGAAAAATTAAAGAAGGGTCATTCAATCCTGAAATACTGAACTATTCTAATTTTCTTTTGGACTGTTTATCACCCGTAACCAGCCTTTACGCTCTCTTTTATCATGAAAGACAGAGAATAGGCATGCAGCTTTGACGGCATTGACGATTTTGGCGTAAAATCTTTACTGACACCTTTATACGAGCCCAGGGGCGGGGGGCGGGGGGGGGGTACTACCTATAATGGCCTATATGGGGAGGCTCCGCCCCAAAGGGGTACGGCATTTTCGGGCTCCGGCTTCATAAGAGGGTAGGGAAATCTGTCATTATGGTCTGTAAAAAACCTTTAAGGGCCAACAAAAGGATTTTATGGCTGAGAAAAATAGAGTAGACAAAATTTCCCGCTTTTTCTATTTATTCGGCCTACATGACAGACAATGTATTTAAAGCAGTTAAAAGGGATTCAAAGTTCTAAACTAGATATTTAAAAGGAAGTTATACGAAAGGGGTACCTTTTCTGTCAAAAGTGGAATATAAAAGGGTAAGGGGTTTGACCTCGGGGCCAGCATACGCGCTGCAAAATGGCTGTGCACTTGATTTTCGCTCCTAAGGAACTGCCCACGAAACCTCTGATTTGAAGCGAGTTTGAGACTAGCCGGGGTGGCAGGCAAGATTGACTCTTTTCTCGCCCTTACGGCTGCGATTTTGAAAAAAACAAACAAAAAAAAAATCGGAGAAGACTATTATCCGCGCCAGCCCCCAGTTTTAAGTAGACTGGAACGAGCATGAAGTCGAGACTGTCTCATCCAGTCCTTTAGCGGCGAAAATTTAAACATGGCGTCAAGAGCGAGGACACTCGTGCACAAACTGCATGCAGTCAGTTTGATCAAAAGCGCTATTGGGCAGCCCTGGTGGGAGAAAAGAACCGTAAAGTTTCTAGGACTGAACAAGCTACACAAAACAGTAATTCTCAAGAATACAGACACGATAAATGGCCAGTTACAAGCGATTAAACACCTGATTGATGTCAAACCAGTAGAGATTGTTGAAGAAGACACCGATAAAACATCAGGGGAGGACGGAGTGTTCTTGCGAGAAAATGGACAGTTTCACCTCAGTACGTTCCAGGATTACATGAAAAATAATCCACGAATGGAAAAAGTGCTACAGAGGAGACGGAAGCAAGTGGTATGGGAAAGAAAACGACGTCGATAACAATTGTCATCCACTATCAAAAATGTATGCAGTTGAGTTTATATCCCAAACAAGGAAAAAACACTGTAAACTGGACAATTATCGCATTAATATTTTGCAAAGACATCTTGCTATCAAGTTTCTGACAGCAAGATCGCGTACAGTAATTTGCAAGGAATTTTTAATATAAGACTTACAAGCTTATGGGATTTTCCAGTTTTCATCTACGACAGAAGACTTACATGTCAAGCGTACATGTATATGTTGTGGTTCAAATTCATCCTTGGTTTATATTTTATCTTCCTTTGTTTTGGGGTATGGTTATGCATGATAATAAGTTTGAAATAAAATTTAGACCAAGGAGAAAAATTGAACTAAAACATATACACCAAGAAGTAGAACTGCTGACAACAGTGGAGGTCATAGCCTAATATTTTACCCACATGCTCTGGGAATGATAATTGAAACTGGAAAGAAGACCTGTACTTCTAGTAACCCAGTGTGCTAGGCTAGTGTACAATATGGGATCTTCCACAAACTTTTACTTCTACAATCCCTGATGGTTCCTGGTGGTTCAATGCTTATTTGGTGATTATTATTTTTCCAACCACTGAATAAATGTTAGCTTATGATTGTGAAATGCTTCTTGTGTCCCCAGGCAATCACTGGATCTGTATTAAATTCTCAACTTGACTGTAAAAGCTTCTTTTTATGAGACAATGGAAATCTGACACTACAATAACTTTATAAATATCACTGTTTACTAATATCACCATACCATTTGTAACAGGAACAATGGCTTGAGTAGATGATCAGTGATGATCACATCGTAAATTTGACAGGAATTTGGTGTTTTCCTGCCATTTCGGATTACATTTTACAGAATCCCTTTGAGCTACATTTTATGAGAGACAACTTTGTTAGAAATTTTCAGGTTGGTCCAGGATCCTCCAATTTGAAATATTGTAATCTTTGCAGATTTTCCAGTGGATGTATAAAGAAGGCGGCCTTGGCCCTAGTTGTTTAAAAGTTGGATAGTGTTATTCACCAATTAAATCTCTATCCAAAGGATAACAGCACTCAATTGGTTTCCCTAATATTTATCCACTGGAGAGGGACTTATCTCGGGGATAGTGCTCTCTACCTTTTGAACAACTACGGTCAGGACTTTTCTAATTCAGGGCAGCCACAGATAATGTGATTGAAGGTTTAGCGGTTACACACCCAGCCCATACATGTAGGGTTGATGTTGCCTGCGTGATGTCTCTCTTCATGATTCTGTGGTGTTAAGAGCTCATTGTCAAGCTTTGATCTTGGGCTGCAATAAGAAGGCCTTCTGTTTCTGCCTTAAGCTTAGCACTTTTCAACCATTCATGAGATAATGAGCAAAACATGTCCCTCTTTGACTCTTGTAGGGTACATTAGCTTCTCTAGCCATTCTAGGGTAATTTTTACAATGTGCTTGCTATTTACATGTAGCATAATTTGGTATTGGCTCTTCTCACAAGTGCTGTGACAGATTCGTTTTTAGCATAGTCCAGTCTGCTAAATCAAGTTCAGGAAAGATTTTTAAAGGAAGTAATGCCTACAGATGATGTGACAGAAAAAAAATAAACATAAAGAAAGTTGACGTTGCTTAAGTGATTTATTTTTCAGTGAATTTTTTACCAAGCAAAGGCATCAATACATTTTAAGGTGCAATAAATCCCCAGAACAGAAAGGAGGGTACATCTACATGATAGTAGCAAGGGGAAACTAAATTCCTAATCATGCACGTAGAGAAGGATTTGAGGGGTCCACCAAGACCCCCCTCCTCCCCCCAAGCATTTTTGAGTCTAAGAAAGAGTTTCCAAACCTAACTTGTGTGCCCCATATGATTACTTATCATACAAATCTCATCCTTAACGTTTATTATTTTGTCTGCTGGTTAGCAACAGGAAAAAGATATAGTTCAAGGGATAAAATAAGCAACAAAATTCCAGTTGCTCTCATACTTGATTTCGTAGTCATGACCAAACCTAAAGGTCAGTCACGTGTTGCAGTGGGTGCTCGACAGTTTCAGAATAATAAAAAAACAAACAAACAAACAAACAAATGCACCCGCAAGATAACTGCAGTGTGGCAATGCAAGTCTTGAAAGACATGTCTCAGAAAGTCTACCACCTGTTCAGGGTGCATTCCTTATGATGATCTGGATACCCATCAGGGTGACAAAGATTCATTTGATCATTGCCTAGTTTCAAATTGAGAGGGGCTGGTAAGAGTCAGTTTATTATGGGATAAACAACACCAGAATGCCATAGTCAGAAAGAGCACATCAATTGAGGGTATGAAAAACCTGAAGTTTGGTGTTGATCGGGCCAATATTGAACAAGATTCAGCTATCTATAAACTTGAAAATTTATAAGAGATGTATGGATTGCTGAACACATTGTCCGGACGTCTATATATTTCTTAGTAAATTTTGGAGTTTTTGAATGTCTGTATCTCGTTCGATATAGGCCTGATAAACACCAACCTTGACAATGTTGCTAATTTCAATGTGCTCTTTCTGACTATATGGATCTCATGTTATTTATCCCATAATAAACCGACTCATACCCAGCCCTTCTTGATTTGAAACTGGGCAATGGATCCTGATCCTGATCAACCCAAAGGAATGATCGAGCCCCCTGGCCTGTCTTATGGCTGGTTATGCTTCTGGCTTAACATGTTTTTAAAAAATGCAACAATATTAAATCCCTTACTTACAGTCAACTCTCTCTTAACCAAGACCCCTAGGTTACAGACATGTAACTATCAAAAATTGCCCCCCAGCCCCACCCCCCAATTATAAAATATAATGGAATGTGGTCCCTGCCTTTCTTTACTCCTTTTAGTTGACTCTCTATAAGACAGACACCACGCTAAAAGAGACACATCGTGGGGTCCCAAAGGTGTCTGTTTTAAAAAAAAAATCATACATAAACACTCTGGACTAGCAGTTGAACCTGCCTCGTGCCCAGACGTCTCTCTTTTGATGAAAATGTGCGCGCAAAGGAAGGCGGGAAGGAGACCCTTCCCATTGTCCCTTGCGGTTCATCACCAGTCACTCGCGTTTCGCGCTCGCCATGCGAAAAACGAAGCGCCTGAGGAGGAGGCTGCAGTTGAACACCATTGAATTAACTTAGGTAGGTTTTCTGATATGGTTTTTATGAAAACAGGGTTTGTGGGTGTGGATGGGGGTGGGTCTCATAGTTCACAAAACCTACCATAGGCTAATGTCTTTTTGCCTTTGCCTTTCTTCTTGATTAATTTTTTAAAGATCTTTTATACAGTATTTTAGTGACAAACAATGTGTTGGAAAACAACAATATTATTACTCTAAAAAATTATATAAATCAATGATTTTCTTTAAACTCCTAAAATGATTACCTGTCCAATTGAATTAAAAAAGAGACTTAATTTATTCCCATAATTTTATGGATAAATTGAAATAATATGTGATGTATTATAACACTAAACAGTGGCTCTGAAGCCTTTTTACCTTCAGAGAACAAAGTACAGTCATGTACATTTATATGTCTGTTCAAAATGAGTGATATGCTCTGTGTACAAAATCAGCTTTTTCTGTGCTATAAAAATATCTACCTACACAATTTGTGTTTTTATAGTTTAATTTGAAAATAGCACTTGTGTCCAAGAGCCTGCATTGAACATCATTATTATTATCACTGTGCTCATTGAGTACTACAACTATAAAAATTTGATTCTCACAATACACCTGTATGTCTGCCTTACAAATCAACATTACTTGTACATAAAACATCAATAATTATTAACAAGTTTCTCAGAAAACATGGAAACTGGAGGACACATGAAGAACTAGACATCATGTAAACCTGAGATCAGGCCCAATTTTCACAGCTTTCTGCATACATTCTCTGCACTAAAATTGGGGCTCTCTTTTGGTTTTGCCTTGCCTGCGAAAATATTATTAACCAAATGAAACAGAAATAGAGCTTGATCTCAGGCAAGTATATTTATTTAGTATGGTCTTTAAATTTATTGTTTGACATTGCTTTGAAAATAATCATTTTTAATTACCTTTAGAAAGAAATTTAGAAAAGAAATTTAAGATTTTTTTTTACACATGGTCTTTGTTATCGAAACCATCTGAATAGTGGTGATATGTATTTGTCTTCATGAAGTGTTAACAAGTTTGAGAATTCAGAGTTTGAAGCGTGAGAATGTGACAAGGGCTAAACATGCCCAAACCTAGCCATGCACAGCAGGCAGGCTAATAATTAGTAAATATTAAAAACACAGTTTATTTTTCATTAATATAGTACATGCAAATTGTAAAACTGTTATCCTAGCTAAACTGTACATTACGATGCTATTTTACTATAAATTCACCTCAAACGCCCATGTTTGAGTAAATGAGTCAATGCAAGAATTTAAAACAAGTCCTTTTTCCTTGTAGTCCTTGCTATCCAGGCATTTTCCAGAACCAACATGTCTTATTCTGTTAGAACTTTTGTCATATTCCCAATGCTGAAGAAAAAAGAGATTTAAAATAATATTATTATTACATTTATAAAAATGCAAAAAAAAAAGTACTGAAGGTCAATACACCATTTCTGACTTGCCCCAAGGCTCTCATTCAAAACCTGAGCTTAGAAGTGCACGGTCTTCAAAACAGACGTTGTTTTAACAAAATGTCATGGCATATAAATAGTATACTGAGTTGAGACTGTAATCGTTAAATACATCCGAGAACTGCTGTTATTTACATTGTAGTGGAATTAAATTGTTATTTTTACTTGGGACATTAGTAGCCTGCAAAAACATCCGTTTCTCATTCAAAACCTGAGCGTTTTTGGAGGAGGTGCAAAGAAATTCCATACTGATTAGACGCAAATCAATGTTTAATAATAAATCCGGTAGGCATGGAGTTCCAAATATAAATTTTTAATTTTGGGTGTCTTCTGGTCGATTTTGGTAAAATGTCAAATTGCAAAACTCAAATGCTTCTTCTAGAGAAGACTATACAAATATTGAATGTTTTGTTGAGACTGGCGTTTATTTGATGGCCTTTTCAGGGGCGGATCTAAAACATCCAAGAACTGCTGTTATTTACAACTGGTATTCTGTAAAAAATTAAATATGTTTTTTGGTGTTGGGAGCAAACATAATAAAAATCCTGGATCCGCCCCTGGAACTTTTGTCTGTCAAATAACAAAAGCTAAAACAATTTAACTCCTCGACCAATCAGCGCCCTGTGGAATTCTTGATTTTTGTCATCAGTATGGAATTTCTGTTGGTGTTACTTTCATCACAGTTCAGTAACAGGGCAGGAGTTCCATGTTTTCATTAGGACATTAGGAACATTTTCCAAATAATAAAGAATTTTAACTCCTACAAGTGGAATTCTTGTTTTTACCTGGTTGGTGTTACTTTCATCACAGTTCAGTAACAGGGCAGGAGTTCCATCTTCTTCATTAGCAGTATCCAGACAGTTTGAGTCATGTTTTAACATCTTATTCTTGACAAAACTCCACAGCTGCCCAAAATTAAAAAAAAACAAAACAATAATATTAATAATGATAATAATAATAATAATAATAATAATAACAATAATAGATAACTAAATTATTGTACAGTAATAAGACTTAGTAGTGTGCTGTCTACAAGTTAGCAGTAGTTAATAATTAATTTATGTGATATTATATAAATTCAATCCACGTGGATTAAACAGACATTGAGAGGACCATGAGCACTGTTCATTATTATTACAAAGAAGGTGTGTTTATTACAATAAGTAGCAGCGATGCTTAATAATAAACAGACCATTACTTTCAACAAGCTAAATGCCTCTAAGATAGCCATCATTGCAGAGAACTGAACAAAAGTACAACAATCAGAATAACTATCATCACACCTGGTTTCCTCCAGCACCATGGCATTCATACAAACCAACAGTCCCACCCACTGTATGGCCAAGGGTATCCATGCAGTCCTTTCCTTGTTTAACCTCTCCGAAAGCTGTGGTGTCATCATCATCTGGAACTCTGAGCCAAAAGAAATTAAAATATATAGTTGGTTAAAGATTTTTTCACAAACAGATACCATATCAGACCTAATGTCATTGAGAGATATAAAAATAATAATAATAAAAACGAAGACATAAATGATCACATCATGTTAACCCTTTAAGCCCCAATATCCACATACAAATTCTCCAAACTAATCTTCATACATTTCCTTCATGAATGAGTTGAGAGAATTTGATAAAAGATCAAGGCATTTTCCCTTAGGTGATCATTTTATTAATTCTCATAACCTAATCTCTTGACAATGTATGGATATTGTTAGGAGAAAATTCATGTTGGTCACTATTGGGACTTAAAGGGTTAAGGCAAATAATTGATTTCAAACAAGTAACAAGACATGGCCTCAAATCAACCACATAAGGCACATGACAATACTTTATAATGGTAACAAAGCTGCAGGATTAAAACTGTCAGTGACAGCGAAGAAGACAACCTCAAAATATATATTATGTGACATACAAGAGTTAAATACCCACAAGGAGATGGCTTCCTTCATAATAATTTTTATGTACACAGACAGCAAAGAAGTCCAAACATAATTTGCAGGGCTGTCATTCAGGGTCAGGGGCTGGCGATTTCCTCTAGCTATGATGAAGGTGACCCCCAGCTACTTTCTTAGAAAAAAGAGGAAAAATAGAACCAAAAGAGATCACTAACTGTTTGATTCCCTGCCTACAGTTCTTGTATAAATGCTGGAAACTTGTTGCGCAAGCCACCTTGGGGACAGAAGAAAGTGGCCATTGTAAAGAGGTGGCCATTAGCGGAAAATTGACTGGAATTTTTTAGTGACAACCTTGAGCTTGGTAATGTACATTGATCAGGTTTACACTGTACTCTTAATCCCTCACTATTGGTGAAGCTGATTTTATTGCAGCGATAAAACTGTTTTAAAGCCATTGCCAACATACCTGAGCTCAGGGTAGACATTCTGGACATACCACTTAAATGGCTTACACTTCAACTTTCTGCGAAGTTCAAGTCGACTCGAAATACTGTGGGAAGAAAAAATAAATGACCTCAGTATGACTGTACTGTCAACTTTAATGTCAATTCCGAGTTCTCTTAAACATCACCCAACATGTAATTACTGATAACACAAACATACGGCTTGTTCTGGAGGTCAATGTGGTCTACAGGCTTCTACATGTATTAGGCTACTGGGATGTTTCATAAGATACCAACACTGTGTTCCCTCATAGAAATGTTCTGCCCTGGACCATCCCCCCCCCCCATTTTGTTATTCCAGATATGTTTCCTACTTCTTACGAAAACTACTTTAGCTTTTTCAACAGCTTCTTTTAAAAGTGACATTAGTATATTATTTTGTAACATAAATGTACATCAAGAATCAATTCTAGCATAAGATATATAATACAGACCTTTCACATACATTGTACTTCTACATGACACTTGAACATAGAAATTTTCTTAAATTGTGCATCACTTTGATTATTACCGATAACCTTGAATACAATATTGATTCTGAATCAAATTTTTCAAACTTACTCCCCATAATCTGCATTCTTTGCATAAGGCACAGCAGCATAGTAAAACCTTTTATAATCATCCATCCAAACTTCAACAGCCCTCCTGGTGTTTCTGAAACAGGAATCCAAAAAAAAAAAGCCTTTAGAATCATCAGGCAAGAGTATGATGGATGATGATGATGATGATGACAACAATGACAACAATGACGACCACAAAAATGATGATGATCGTGAAAATGATGATGACTACAAATGTTTGTGAGACTTCATCAGTGTTCATCAGTTACCCATGCTACAGTTACCAGGGTCCTACTGTAATGCATTTATTAATAGAATCCACAGGAGCACACCTGGGTTGACTGTCACCAATAAAAAAGTTGTTTTGGATAAAAGCAACAAAGTATTGTATACTTTTAAAAGTTACACAAAATTATTATACAGGTACTGTATATTTACTTTTGGAAGACATTCATACTGCCTCCAGGGAACTTGTAAGGGTGCCTGTTTCTAAACACATGGCCAACTCTTGAACAAGGAATGATTTCCATGCTACCTCCACACTGCCATACCCTAAAGGAGATTTCTGTTTTTGGAGAGATTTATAAATATTAAAACTGGAAGAAATTTTAGTGTGATGACTTTAAACTTATTGTAATAAAAATTAATTACACTAAGACAGAGAGGAGCCAAGTTTGCAAACTTAAGGATTAAAAAAAAAAGCTGATAGGGAGTTGAAGTTGCAAAGGACCTGTGCACATGTATGAGCACTGTATCATGGGAGAGCCAGACTATCGAGATCCTCCAACCAGCAGTGTTTCCTCTGATAGAAAAGGAGACACCCCTTTGAGGCTAGGATGTTTGCCGTAATCTACATGATTGTACCTGAAAAATCTTATTCCCATCACTTTTTTGGCTTTTGAGACAACCATTTTCACATTATCCATAAACAAAACTAGCCTGCGAAAACAGCCATCGTCCTTGCTCCTCGCCGCTTGGAACGTTTCGCCAGGAGAGACACCTGTGTGTCAGTGACAGAAATTCCATACTGATGACATAAAATCTGTCCAGAATCTGGTCAGGAGCTTTGATTGGTTGATGTAGTAGTTATATTGTTTCAGCCAGTTATTGTTTTACAAGATACAGACAAAACGCCTCAAAGGTCAAATGTATTAAATGCGACAAATCTCTTACAAAACAGCTGTTTTTCATGGAATGAAACAAAAAAGCATTTTAGTTTTGCTGGAGCTCATTAGCAGATGAACACAAACTTTACCAAACTTGACCAGGTCGAGAAACATAAAACTAACGAACAAATTTGCATTTGAAGCCCCATGAGTACCGGATTAATTATGTAAACATTGATTTACATCATCAGTATGGAATTTCTGTTGTTGAGACACAGACATCTCTCTGTCCCAAGCGGCGTGGAGCAAGGAGAAATGGCTGTTTTTAAAGGCTATAACAAACCTTGTTTACCCACCCCCCACCACTCCCAACAAAATTTTGCATAACCATTGTTTCCAGTTCCCCTGGGTATACACGCAGTCAGCCCAACACAGAGATATTGAAGACAATGCTTCAAGGCAAATTTTGAGGGGTGTAGTAATACAGTCAAGGTGGAAATGCCAATTGGTAGTCAGGTTAAATCTCAGTGCCCATAATTTTTAAGGTACCACAAGTAGGCCAATATTAATAAACAGTTATAGAGGGGTTCTTGAGTATTTTGTTTTTTACCACTTTTAAAACTGTTTGGCTGGTAAGATGGGTTTCAAAATCTACAATCATTTATTACTCACAGTTGACCAGGCAGTTGGCCAGGTATTTCTTTAACTTTTCTTCATAGTTGCTAACAGTTAGTGTTACAGTCAAACCAGGTCAAGCGTTCCCGTCACTAGCAAACTAATGAATTCATTAATGGAAAAATGATTTCGTTTGTTGATTCAATAATCCATTCATAAAATGAATAATCCAACAATCAAATTGGACCTCGATTCAATAATTAAATGTTGATTTGGTTTATTAACAAAATCTACCTGTTCTTTATTCTTCTCTGTTGAGTTCAATCGTATTTGCTTCCCTTTTCCTGCCGTTTACGACTGCGTTTGTAATTGCCTTTAATCAAAACAACAGCTAGAAGAGACAGACCGCAAACGCAAAGAAACGGACAAAGGCCGGGGATCGAAATCCACCAATCACCGCACATACACTGACCTTAGTTTCACTATCGTGTTTCCTAAGAGGTCAGGTCCGTTGCAGTGAATACTGGAAACAAAATGACGTACATGTAACAGTTTGTTTGGGTTTGAAATTCAGAACTCGCCCGAACTCGCCTCTAAGAAAAAAAGGAGAAAAAAAAGTGTAGTTTTTCTAAAACCAGTAATCGAATCAACATTCGAATATGGAATTGAGGCTAAATGTGAATATTGGATTGTTCATTTTATGAATGGATTATTGAATCAATAAACGAAATCATTTTTCCGTTAATGAATATATTAGTTCGTTAGCGACGGGAACGCTTCACCTGGTTTGACTGTAATAAAAAGAAAGAATTTCAGCTGACCTAGATTTTCTCCACCCCATATGTCCATATCCATATCATACTTTCCAATTCTCTCAAACCATTTCTTGTCAATAGAGAACAGTCCTCCAGCAATAACAGGGGTCCTAAAATTAATAAAATTTCACTTTAGTTAATTCAGTAAAGAACGGCAGAGAAACAACAATAATAAATATTGTTGTTATAGTATTATAGTATTATTAAATTATTTGTTGTCTTTCACTTGTATGCAATGTGAATTTACTGTTGTGAGTATGCCAATTCATGATCTCATAACAAACTATAATTATTGGAAGAGCCTAATACAGTGTGCAAAGAAAGTACATCTAGTGTCCGATAGCCTGAGGCTAGTGGCTTCATCAGACTACTGAACTCTTATCTTAACTTGCCACATTAGTGAAGGTTGTTTAGGTGGGAATTCAATGCTCATCAAGAAAATGTTTGGAGAGTTGAAATGACTTTTGGGCAAGTACATGATGCCACATAATGTAATATCACCTGACTTTCTTTGCACCATGGCCTTCTAAAGAGGACAAGAAGAAAAAACGAACACAAAAAAGAAGACTATTACTTGATAGGATCCATGGGACGGCCTGCACGTTCTGCGAGGACATTTGCTGGCAAGTAATCCCACTTGAAATTCAAATTCCATCCAAATCCTGTGAAATGAAATTTTCACTCGTAAACTTTGGACACACTAGAAGTGCGTTTTAGCTGATGAATTGAGGGTAAGCCCGAGAGCATGCGCATTTCTCCAAGTCTAAAACATTACCCGAAAAATTTAAAACAAAGGCCCTTTATATTATGCACAAGTAAGTGCACATACATGTACATGTACATGTACAGGCTTCATAATGGTCTGACTTGCAAAAAAAAACAAACAAACAAAGCAAAAAAACAAATACTGTACTGTCACTGTTAACACAGCAAAGTAAAACAAATTGAATGGAAGAGAGTAATCACCTCCTCTTAAATCTGATGAAGAGCCCATGTATTCAAAATTATCCATATTAATGACATCAATGATAGGACTGACAATCATATTACGCTTCTATAAAGGAATGACATTAAAAAGATTAGATGTCTAAATCAAAATGACATACATTGAGCCACCCAACAGTAAATATTTGAACAAAGCTGACCTACTTGCCTGCCCCAGTCAAACAATAAAATTTTTCTCTTGATTTTTTTTAAACCTTCTGAAGATTAATATTTGATCCAATATCCTATTCCTCAGGGTTAATCTAAAAAACCCAGGTTCCCACTATATTAATTTTATATATTAATAACAAACACCTCACAAAGTCCCAGAACTTCTGCTATCAGAAGCCAGCCCCTAGATGGAGACAGCTCCCATGGCTGGCAAATCCTGGTAACCCAGTCATGACCCCCAATGTGGATCAAACTAAAAGTAACATAGCTGTAGAGGATAGCCACCGACCCATTCCCCACTTCCTTCCAAACAGACACAAACAGAAAAAAAAAATACTGAAGCTGAATGCTACAGCTATACATGTAAATGAAGAGCTAAACATTACAACACACCTTCTACCAAGAGCATGCGGAATACTCCTTACACACAACCAAGTACCATTGCCTACAAAGGAAACTAGGGTACTGCTTCCTCTAGTTTAAACCCTGTTAAAATGCATTATAGCTGTAATTTATTGCACCATAAATTTGTTAGGCTTAATTCTGAATTTCAGTGTAGGATAAAAAGAAAACTGTCGGATGATAACACAATGCAAAAATTAATGACTCCTGATATGATCCAAGACCCATACTGTTACTAAATGTACTATTGGATGAACACACTTTTAAATACCTCTTTAATCCTCTGCAGAAGTGGTTCCAGCCAGTTTTTATTACATTCACAATGACTATCTAAAAACGTCAACACATCTCCTTTGGCTTCATCTGCTCCTCGAACACGAGACCGCATCAGTCCTACATGAACAACAGCAATCACAGAGTTGAACACTTGTTTATGTTCAATACCATAAGTGTTTCTGTTCTGTGATATAAATGTGAATAATGCTGTTTCCTTGTTTATGCCTGGAGAGGCAGCATACCAATATTGTTTGCCATTAATTTTTGTTTCTCAGCACTAAAAACAGTATTATAAAATGTTTTTCTTGGACATGAAGTGGTGTGCACTTAATGGAGATACACTGTACAGTGTATCATTCTGTTCTACAGTGTAGTGAGGTTTCCCCGATGAATGATGCTCTATTATACATATTACCTTTGGTAAAATAATATAAAGTCACCAGAAAAAAAATGCCTTTTTCCATGAAGAATATTCAACAATCCCAGAAGAAACAATAGATACATGTACTATAGCTACATTGTACATGTACATGTAGCTAGCAGCAATTTACAAGAAAGCTTTCCTCACCTTCTCTTTTGTCATTTCTAAGCACTCTCACTTTAGGAAGTTTTTCTAATAGCTTGCCATCATCAGCTACAAAACAAATAAAAGATTAAAATATAACAAAAAAGCCATTAATACTTCATTTTACTTTCATTTCATTTAATTCAGTCCTCTCCCTTGAGCAACACAAGAGAGTAAAAATGAAAGTTTAATATCATAGGCTATTCTGTTCATTAACCAATATAATTTTCAGCATCAAAGATTGATTATAAACTATTTTAAATCATTCTTTTGTTCCATGGACAAGCACTTTGTCATTACACTGTACTTACAAAAAGTTCATACTTACGATTGTCACTATAGTCATCCACCAGGATAATTTCTTTCAACAAATTTGGGGGACTTCTATTTAGTGAACTAAAATGAAAGCAAGAACAAAATTAATACCAGCGAATGAATGACTTCAAAAGGATAACAAGGGCAAAAATTAAGGGTTGGCTTTAATAATAATTGCCTGCAAAACCTGTAACTTACATAACACTGCAACTGTAAGCTTTAAAAACAGTATTGTTGTAGTATCTAAAAATTTTAATGATGTGTTAAACAACTCATAAACCACTGTACTGTCCTACCCTAGCCACATTATTATTTTCATCATGAAGGGAAGGAAATTAAGAATGCATGCCCTAAAACAATATTCTCTTAAGTGACAGTACCTTATGACTGTTCGTAGTAATGCCGCCCTCCCTTCATTGTGAAAGCATATTATAATACTGGTGGTTGGCAAATTATCTGTCTTCCATGTTTGCTGCTGGCATCTGCTCATGAGAACAAAATTACAAAAAAAATATTTCTAATAAATAACTCTATTGCACATTACTATGTGTAAATAAAGTAATTAGAGCTGTATACAACCAAGCTTTAACTGATTCAGAAAATGGACCTTAAAACAGCAGTGTCATGAAATTTATCAATATTTAGGCGGTGGGAACCACCACTAAACTGAGTGAAAAATAGGGGCGTAACGATTCACATTATTCCTTGCGGTTCAATTAGATTTTGATTAGAGCATGTTGCACATAGTTTGCCTTATTTGGAAATTCTCAAGGGGTGGTTGAAGGACAGCATTTTTACCAGGCAACACAAAATGGTGCACGAAATGCTATCATCTTTGCTCATCAATCATAAACGCACAATTTAAAGCGTTCTGGATTCCGATTTTACAATAAAATAATAACTCACTAAGGGCACCCTGGAAAAGGTGTGCAAAAATTGAACCAAAATCGAAACATGGAAGCAAAGAATCATGAATCGAACCAAACGGTCATAATCGCGATTAATTACACCACTAGTGAAAAATAAAAATAACGACTGAAAACATGGAAAAAATTATTACTGCTAGTGCTCTCTGTTTTTTTTTATTTGTGTGATATCTTCCTCCTTACTCTACAGTCCAAGCATTATCTTTTTCTTTTAATGGATAAGGACACTGATAATTGATGGCTCTATATAGGACATACCTATTGACCTAAAAATAATGATAATAATAATAACACATTTTACTTTTAAAGCACATTTCCATTACTGTCAAATGGCACTTGACAACAACAATTAATTTTTTTTAAAAATAATGATAATAATAAATGCACTGTTACCTGTTTAAAAATCTTAAAATTAAGCTATGCATTAAAATTAACAATATTGTTAAAATGAATAAAAATATCAATAAAATCAAATAAAAATCAAATACAAATAAAATGTAGGAAATACATGAAATTATGTTCCTAGGAGGATCATAAATAAATTAAAAGTCTTCTTAAAAAAATATGACATTGCCTACAGTAACACTGTACATGAAGCACATAATTATTTTTAACTTCATTAACTAATTTTTGCTTTATAAAGTTGTATGCTTTCCTCTTTGCATCCACAAAAGATTTACGTGTATAGCTGTGTCTTTTATTTTTCTCAGCCTGCTTAATAGCGTCACACTTAACAACAACTGTGCAGTAGAAAAATGCTTCTTACACACCATCTAAATTGTGAAGAACTGATTTATGATAGAAACTCCAACATCAGTTTTAAGAGCTGTGAAGACTGAGAATTTTTAACGCCATAAGACATGCTGCAAAATATTTTCAACTTACTCAGAAGCTCTAACGTCTGGAACATCCCTGTTAAAAGCAGCTTTATCACTAGCTTCTTGATTATAAGCATTGCTTGCATAAGCATCACCACCTTTCTTTACCCTGGTAACAGCAATGTAGCTTTCCACGTCAAAATCTTCTATTCTTCTGAGGTCCATTTCATCTGAATTCTGAGCAAGTTTAGAGGATTGTCGCTGAAAAATTTATACAAAAAATAAAAATAACAAACATACAATGCGTGTGTCTATTTATCCAGTTTATCTAAAGATGACAAGACCTAGCTCTTTCATAGCTGTCGTGGCACCTAGCATATTCATTAAGTATTTCCATTCATAATAGAGAACTTAAGCAACAACGATGGGGACAGCTACAAAAACGTCACTTAAAAAGTGAATTGGCACTGCCTCAAACTTTATCTCACTAATTATTATTCCACCTCATTTATTTCGTCAAATGTTGGCAATTTTTTTTCGAACTGAATTCTAAAGGATTGTATCAAAGTTCAAGAAAAGAAAAAGAAAATCATTGTCTTGTGCTCCCGTTGTACAATGACAGCTAAGAAATGTACAAAAAAGCGTGATGCACATGCAAAATTGTTGTTTTGCTAATATCACCCTACTGCTTTTTTGGCATTCTCTATGCTGTCACCGTTGTCATTGCTTAAGCTCCCTAATATAGTGATGGTTAGCTCAAAAGCTAAGCTCCTCTGACCACCGTCACTTCCATCAAAGACATTAAGATGGAATCCATCAGGAAATTGAGTAATTTCAGTTTTCAGTGGACAAAAACCTTGTACCAGAATAATTTAAAGAATACATGTATTGCACTCTTTTTGCATTTTTCAAGAGCTAAAGATATAATTAGTCATCTGTAATAACACCAAAGAAAATTTCTCATGGAAGCCCGAGAAAATGAATGTCAAATTTCACAAAATGGCATCTTACACATGAAATTTTCTAGAATTTTACTTGTGTTTTCACTATTCATTTTCTCAGACTGCTGTGAAAAATCTTCTTTGGTGTTATTACAGATGACTAATTACATTTTTAGCCCTAGAAAAATGTAAAAAAGAATGCACTTTTTTCTTAAATTATTCTGGTACAAGGTTTTTGTCCACTGACAATTTCCTGGTGGACTCTGTCTTAATTCAATTCTTTTCTTCTTCTTCGTTTTTTGTTGTTTTATTCCTTCATTACTATATTATACAATGTGAATAAAACCGAAAAACTGAAAACCAAGACACAAAGGAATAATTAGTTAATAATTAAAGCTAAAAGGTTAAGCTTATCTGCATGTACGGATACAATCCATGGATACAATCGAAAGGTTAAATCTGTGATATTGTTCAGATTCACAGATTAAAAGCTTGTATTTTTATATATCTCCTTTTTTAGTTTCAGAAATTGTTACAATAACAAACAAACAAAAAAAGCTTAACCTCAGAGATACCAAGTTCAAGAAGCTAAGCTAAAACGTTACGTGAAACATGCATGATTTTGCCAAACTCAACTATTAATCTAGCTTAAGCTGGTCACTATATACTGCTATATACTGTACTGGTACCAGACACTGGAAATTTAATTCTAATGCACCGGGAAATTCTTCCAATGTTAGTGACAAAGAAGGGGTAAACACTGTTTACACACTTACTTTGTTATTATAAGTGTCTTCATTCATGTTGGTCCCTTGTTCGTTAATGTCTTGTTCAAGTGACTCCAATTCACCGGTGTCACCAAAGTTTACGAAGTCCTCAGTTCGTCGTGAATCGTCCTTTGTTCCGGTCAAAGGAGCCAAAAAATATACCATTCCCCCAAGCCATATTGTTACCAAGATTACTAAAATGGTTTTCCGACGCCTCAGCAGTCTCATGTCTCCTACTAAACTAAAAAACTAACATAAAATCATTTTCAGCCACACTTAACCCTTGCCGACGTGGAAGCCATTGCATGAAGGGATGCCTTGGTAGCCAGGCAAACGGCGAAAATAAAACATAGGAGGGAGGAGAGGGTATTGGTAACTTCGGCTCTGAAATTCCCACCAAAATCAGACCCCATCAAGCAACAGCGACAATAGGACTACTATGATCTCTTTACCCCATACAGCAACATAACAAATCGATACGAATCGAGGTAAATTTTGTTACACACTTAAGAATAAAGATAAGAGAAAAAAGTTTAACCACAGGCGGACCATCCGAACTGTTCGAGGGATCTTGATGTCACGGGCGACCGTGTGATCCCATACATTTACTGTATTTCGCCCGCAGTCGGCCTTGCCGATTCAAGTGATCGGTAGAAATGCTTCATAAAACACAGAATTTTGCACCCGTTTGATCCCAAAATCTCTTGTAGTCGGGGGTGTCAGTTTCAAGCGACTGAAAACGCCACAAAAACGCAGAACACGACAATAAAAACATACGGTAAGTTATCTTTATTCATTTTTCTTAGATTATATCGGCATTTGGGATCAAAAGGTGCAAAATTCTGTGTTTTATGAAGCATTTCTAGGGAGTGCGGGTGTTACGAAATACAGTTAATGTATGGGATCACATGTCGCGCGTGACATCACAATCCCTTGAACAGTACATCGGATGGTCCGCCTATGGCTTAATTAACACGACGTTTGGATGTCTGGGGGGCATCCCACGTATGGTGCCTAGTGCACTTTTGGATGCTTCCCTCCACAGATAGATAGATAGATAGATAGATAGATAGATAGATAGATAGATAGATAGATAGATAGATAGATAGATAGATAGATAGATAGATAGATAGATAGATAGATAGATAACCTAAAAACTAATATAATAAAAATATTTAAATAAAAAAGCTGCTTTCCACGAATGCCGTGCCTTACAGTTCTTTGAGTAATCGTTTAAATTGCCCAAGGGACTCTGCTTCCCTTAAGTTACAAGGAAGACTGTTCCAGAGAATGGCGCCACTATAGCGGAAGCTGTTTTTGTAATAGTTTGTGCGCGGTAATGGAACATTGAGTTTATTTTCAGAGTCCCTTAGGTTATATGCGACTTCTCGCCTTTCAAATTTAGAACTAAGATAGTTTGGAGCCAACCCGTGCAGAGACCTGTAAACCATCGTAGCTCTTCTCACAGTTTCCCCAAACAATGTTGGAATAATCAAAGTGTGGCTGTATTAAAGCTTGATATACTAGTTGTAAGGACGCCTGAGGGACAAGGTGCCTTATTCGTTTTATGGTCCCAATACCAGAAGCGACTTTCTTTGTTACTTTCTCGATATGGCCACTCCAATCAAGTCTGTCATCGATGGTCACTCCAAGTGATTTTACAGTAGTGACTTGGCTAACTTGAAAATCGTTAATTGCAAATGTCGGGGACTCTGTGAGAGTACTTAGCCTCTGCCTAGATCCGATAAGCATAAATTCGGTTTTAGTCATATTTAGAGTAAGTTTGTTCGCTCTCAGCCAATGGTGAACATTTTCTAAATCTTGATTTAGATGCAACTGAATATTGTCTGCATTATCACCTGCGTATGTAAGGTGGGTGTCATCAGCGTACATCCTCGGCTAACAGTTTGAAAGACAGTTTGGAAGATCGTTGATATATAACAGAAACAGTAGTAGACCTAAACTCGTCCCCTGGGGAACACCACAAGTTAATAAACAACTTTGAGAGAGCGATCCGTTGATGGAGCACATTTGAGTACGATTCTCTAAATATGACTTAAACCATTGGTGCGCGTTACCATATATGCCGTAATTGCTTAATTTTGATAAAAGGATCTCATGGTCAACTGTGTCGAAGGCCTTTTGAGATCTAAGAAAACAACGGCGTTGATTTTACCGCGGTCAATATTGTACGCCCAAGTGTCCTTGGCCTCAAGGAGAGCCGTGACAGTTGAGTGAATAGCGCGAAAGCCTGATTGATATTTACAGATTATATTGTGCTCTTCTAGGTAGGCATATAATTGATCATAGACGATTCTTTCAAAAAACCTTGGCCATAACTGAGATCACCGAAATTGGACGATAATTATTAAGTCGTCCCGATCGCCTTGTTTAAAAAGTGGGGTGTGACCTTTGCGCATTTCCAGTCATCCGGAAATATGCCTTGACTTACTGACTGGTTAAAAATATCACGGATAGGAATGCAAATGAGATCTGCACATTCCCGAATGAGCCAGATATCTTGTCAAGGGCAGCTGCCTTTGACTTATTTAAACGATTCAAAAGTGAGAGAACTTTATTTGTGCTGGTCCGATGGAGCTGAAACCGTTTATCTGTGCCAGTGAGGTACTTTTGATAACCATCACTATTTGAGGAATCAATATTGCTGGCAGGTTCCTGACCGATAGTAGCAAAGAGATTGTTAAATTGGTTCGACAGCACAGTTGGATTTGTTATTGATACTCCATTTACTTTCAGAGATGCCACCGATTTTTTCCCAGATTTTCGCGAAGTAAGTTCATTGATAGTCTGCTAGGTCTTTTTAGAATCGCCCGTATACTTGTTAAAACTATTTTGATAATAGGCTTGCTTGGCTAATCTGATTTCGCTATTCACTATATTGCGTTGTTTTTTAAAAAGTGACCAGTCATTTGAATCATTCGATTTACTTGCTTTAATCTTTAGAATATCCCGATCATGCATTCGTTTCTTAAGCTCAGATGTAATCCATGGGGAACTACGCGTGCGAACACGCATTGTTCTCAAGGGAGCATGCTTGTTAACAATAGATAGAAACGAGCATTTCCATTGTAGCCACATTTCATTGGGATCAGTTGAATTGTATATGTGATCCCTACAATGAGATGCAATATCGTTCCGAAAATTTATTCGATTAAATTTTCGAAAGTTTCTGTAGGTTATAGCATTGTGCCCACCAGACATTCCATTCACGGATAATTTTCGATCGGCAAAAACTATGCTATGATCGCTAATACTGATATATGACGAACCCCCGAACACACAACTTTATCTGGACAATTAGTATAGATTACAATAGAGCTTTTAGTTAACCATTTTATAATTAACCATTGCAAACAAAAAATAAATAAACAAAATAAAAGAGCAAATAATACCAGGTTTCAAATTTTTTCATAGCTAATCTACGGTCAACTAATTAACGTTGCACTTTCTTCTCTTTTCACGGATATGTTTCTTAAATGGACTTCATGGTCTTCGCAATCTTGCCGGCTGTCGGATTCTCCTAAATGAAAAGTGCCTGCTACTTACAAATAAATTAAAGTCAAGCCTATCATCACGAAGATGTATTATTAAAGAAGAAATATTTTAATAACATCTAATAATGTTTCCAAAGTATAAAAGCTGAATAAACACTTTGTAGAATTATGCTTGAGTAACAGTCATTTGCGTAGGAGGAAGTTTCCTTCTTACTAAAATCACTGGTACCAAGCAAAAATAGCCTTTTTATTTTGTTTCGAAGTTACCTTTTTCTAAGAATAGGCGCGTTTCAATACTTTTAATGCAGATGGGTGAAATACGATGGACTCTTGCTAACCTTCGTGGCACTTTCGACTACTATATTCTTGGCTTCTTTGGCTTCCGTCAAATGTTCCTGTTCACTTTTTGCATCTGACTACGATCGCATGCTATCAGAAATGCTTTTTTTTGTTTGCCAATTGGCGTAAACTGTACTGAACAATCTTGCCATCCTTCGGCGGTACTTTCGGTGTCTTGCCTACTACAATCGTCGACTACCTCGGCTTGCGTTTATCTCCGTTTTCACTTATCAGTACTAAGAGTGCTCAATTTATCGTAATCTCTTACTGGATGAGTATGCCGGGGCGTACCCTGTACATGTAATGAACACTATCTCCATCCTTTGTGTGTGGGTAACTTACGACCACTATCGACTACTTAATTCGGATCAGTGCATTTATCTTCGTGATGTTGTCGCTAACTTACTACCACTACCGACTAATTAATTTGATACTAGTGTATCATTAAAATTAATAAATAAAAATAAAATTAATTTACGCAACCACCAGTTGTTGAGAAAAAAGCAAAAAAGGTAGGTTACGCCGACAGATTTTACTCTGTGGAATAACGGCCGCCGATCGCGAGCTACACAACTCGGTAGATTTACTCTGTGGCACTACGGCCGCCTAGCTACAAAACTCAGTAGATTTAATTTGTGGCACAACAGACGCTGAGCTTCACAACCCTCCAGTAAATTTACTTTGTGCCTACACAACTCGGTAGATTTACTCTGTGGCACTACGGCCGCCTAGCTACACAACTCAGTAGATTTTTTATTTTGTGGCACAACAGACGCTGAGCTTCACAACTCGCCGGTAAATTTACTTTGTGGCACAACGGACGCCGAGCTAAACAATCCGCTTTGATGCATGCACCAGGAGTAGCACGCATTTTCCAAAGAAAAATATGAAGGCTTAATCCAAAGTAAAATTTTACTCAGGGTGTAAACTTTCAGCACACTTTTGAAAGATGAACGCTTTGGAAGATCCATTAAACACAGATCGATAGCAGACCTTCAGCAAACTCTTAAATATGTACGCTTTACGAAAATTCAGCACACTTTTAAAAGATGAACGATTTACGAAGACAGAATAGCAGACCTCAGCAAACGTTTGAAAGATGAACGCCGACGACACACAAATCACCAAGTGAGTTAGCGCGTCAATGTGAGCCAAAACGTAAGCAAGCGCCTCAAAGCGCGGCAAATGTGTGTCGACGACGACGACAACGAATGCAATCTCGAAAAAATCTCCCTTATTAAATGCACAGGACCCCCAATAATGCACAGAACACCCAACACAAATTATGGGTTGCGTTCTCGTACCTCGAACGAAATTATGTAACTTTCGATCTGCGCACGCTTTCGTAAACTTGCTAAGCCGCGTCGCATCAAC